CAAATACCACTATATTATGGAGTTAATGAAATCTGCTGACAAATCAAGGGACTTTTAAATCTCTTCAAAGATATGAGTGCTTTGGAATTCGTGCACACTACCTTGTTTTAATGATAGGATGCTCCCATCATTAGATTCTGGGAATACGAAATGTTTACTCAGGTACCAGTAAAGACAGTGTGCCAGGGATGCCCATGTGATGTGATGCTTTCAGTGAGTTCTCAAGGTCGTCATCCCCTGCTTTTAGGGGAGAAGACTGAGAAGATCACACACTGCAGCAAGTTGGTGTTTAAATCCAAACGACACCACAGTCGGGGCTCTTCCTCCTCCTCTACCACCATGCCATACCACATCAAGTTTTAAAAACCAAATAAAGTTCTTTATTCTAAAAGAATTTGATTAACACTGTTTTCTAAGACAAGAAAAAAACTTTTTTAAAAAAATCAGAAGTTTGTTTTTTCCCTTTCTTTCTAGCAAAGTAAGTATCTACTGCAAATGCTAAGCTTACTAAGTACTAAAAAAAAAAAATCCCTTCCTTTTCATCAAGCAATAAATAAAACCAGAAAACCATGGGAGCATGGCCATTAATATCAATCTACTGCAATTTAAAATCAGTTTGCTTCCCAAGTACATCTTAGGATGCCATGCTATGAAGTGTTGATATGAAATTACATCATACATAACCATTAAAAAGGACACAGAGGACGCGGAGTTGTACAAATGGTAAAAGAATTTTAATGAAATGAAGTTCTATATTTCACTTTCTAGATTAGTCCAACAGCAACAAAGCAGAATGTGGCTGAGGGGCAAGGCAGGAGGGGAAATGGGATATAAAGGGTGCAGAGCTTCAACTCTGCAAGATGAAAGTTACGTAGATGCCGCACAGCATGTGAACACACCTAACACCAGTGAGCCAGACTGTTAAAGATGGTTTGATGGTGCAGTCTGTCAAGAGCATTTTACCACATTAGAAAAAAAAAGAAACCTTAAAAAGGAAACAGTGAGTTATTTTTAGTGTGATAATGGTTAGGTTTTAAAACAAAACAGAAATACACTAACAACTTGGTATAACATGTTGGTAGATAGATGGATGTTGCATGCTATTTTTCGATGTATTTGTAATTTTCCTCAAGGAAATAAACTTAACAAAATAACAGAGAATAAGGATACAAACTTCTTAATCAATAGAGAACTGTCTACCACAAAACTATCTGGCCAGTTTTCTTAAAACATATAAAATGTAACAATATTTTAGCCACAACTGATAAATGCAGCACTTTGCTGCTTCATGTGGACAGCTGCTGAAAGCTAGACACAGTTTACAGGGCTCATGTTAGAAAACCTGGATAGAAGCCAGGCCTGGTGGTACACGCCTTTAATTCTAGCGCTCAGGAGGCTGAGGCAGGCAGATCTCTGTGAGATTGAGGCCAGCCTTGTCTACATAGTAAGTTCCAGGCCAGCTGGGATTATAGGGAGAGCCTGTCTCAAAAAAAAAAAAAAAAAAAAAAAAAAACAAAATTAAAAAAAAGGGAAAATCATATGGAATCAACAGTCTAAATTTACTATGAAAACATTTTATTTAATTAAAAGTCAAAAACAACAAAAAGGAATTCCACAAGCTTTGTTTGCAACTATATAACCTTTATGTAGAAAAACTATAAAATGACAGTCTCAACTGGAGGGCAGTTCACAATCCTAACTCTTATATGGAGTAACAGTAACCATCTTGCTGTAGACCACTTCAGCTGAGCTGATTTCAACTGTGGAACTCTCATTTTTGAAACACTGTCTTTTCTGATATTTCAAATCACCAAACACATGACATACAAAAGCCTGCTAAAGTAAAAGAAAACACAAATATTCTGAGCACAATTACATATGAAAATGAACGAGGGCATGTTATCTACATATCTACAAACTATACAAATGACTGATTATACATACAATCTATTTACACTGAGACTCTGTGAGGTGGTACTGAATAAACACGAGGCATTGAATGCAACAATGTTGCTCACTTGCAACAGCGGCACATTCCCACCTTTTCTAACATCACACTTTCCCTGAGATTCATATATGTATGTGATCTAAATCTTGGGAAGTTGATATCAAAAACAAGAAAAAGCCAAAAGGATAACAAACACTCTAATATCTATTCCAAAACATGCGTGTGAATTATGAAAACACCAAACACTGCGAGTTTTTTAGTCACAAGATCCTTTACACTTCTACAAGTTGTCTTCACTAATATCAGCACTGAGTTTTCTGTAGTTAGCTTGTTCATCAAAAATTAGAAGAGGAAAACAAACAAAAGGCTTTTAGATCGACCCACTGAAGGCGTGCTCCAATCGCCTCAACCCCGCGTCCCTGTTCAGCATGAAAGAAGCCAGAGCGGTCTGTGTCCTGATTCCATAGCCACAAGTTGGGCAACCTCTTCAGAGGATAGGGTGGTAAGAATAGGACGTAGGAATTGGCTAGGCAGTTAGGGTAAAGAGACCCCAAAGAAAAGTAGCCAGTTTCTTGGCTAAAAGTCAAAATGTCCTTGGGCCTCTTAGCAACATATTCCATTCTAAAGGCCAAAAATGTTGAAAGTATTTGGGAGTTCTTATCTAATCCTTAAAAGATTTTAGGGCTACCTCTTCAGAGGGGGGAATGTTAAGAGTAGCCAAAAGCCCCATTTAAAAAAATGAGTGCATGAAGTTATCAGAAAAAAATGATAGGGAGATATGGGAGGAGTTGGAGTGGAGGGAGTGGGTATGGATTTGATCAAAACACCTTATATGCATGTATGAAATTCTCAATAAATTTAAAAATCAATCAATAATAAAGATATAAAAAATAAAATATATGGTTTTAGAAAAATGGTACCATTTATTTTTAAAAACAACTTTCTGTGCTGAAGAAATCACCCTGTCATGGTCATTACTTTGGAATGGAGACTTTAATGACATCATAGGGTTATGCTATTTTTCAGAACTTATGCCACCACAAAGGCAAAGGTGTACAGGATATTTCTAATAAACCCAATTTGATCATGAACAAAACTTCTTTTAAGTATTTTTAAGTGCTCAAGAATATTAAAGAATAGGGGAAAAATACATAGGTCACAAGCAAATATTCCCTCCAGGTCTCTTTAATTGGAGTAAGTCTCAGGTTAAGCCCACAGGAATGGTCTGCAATAAAGAAAATTAGGTCACTATAGAGCAATTTCTGCAAACTTTAGCAAAAAGCCAAAACTATTCTGAGCCAAATAAAAGCATCCCTTGGATCGGGGCCTTTTGTTATCAGAGTTTCTGATCTCTAACTTCCCCCTTCTGCTTAATCGCAGCAGTAAGGAAATAAAATGTCAAAGGGAAAAACAAAAAACAAAAACCAGGATCCTTTCTAGTCACGGGACTCTCTTTGTACGATATAGACCAACACATTTACTTTCTCTTACCTGTAGAGAGAGGGAAGTTAAACTGCATCGCCGTGGTAAAGAATCCCATGTGTAAGTTAAGTTGGAAGGTAGGAGTCTAAACTATGTTCTTTGTAAGCATAGACAACAGAGGATTTCCCCTTACATGGAGTTTAGCAGAGAAAAACTGTGTCACATAGCCTGAATAGTCTTTCCTCTAACTATCTGATCATGCCAATTCATAGAAATCTTGCTACATAAGTGTGTTTTTTAAACGAAGATATAGATTAATAAGTTATTAGAAAAATATGTAGAACTGCTTCCTTCTTAAAACTCAACAGTTCCTGATCCCATAAAACTTCACCGGAATCTACAGGCATTGTTTTTGAGACAGGATCTGACTGCTGCCCAAGCTGATCTCAGACTCCTGAGCTCACTATGATCTCACCTCAGCCTCTCAGTGCTGGGCTAACACACATGCCACCATGCACAGCTGAATCTATAGTGAACTTAAAAAGTTTGTCTACAAGTTTCCTCATAAAAGTAAAACTGGAAATAACCTAGTTAATACTATTTGCAATTCAAAAAAACAAAATTCAGTACAATATAATATACACATTAAACTTGAGAGAATACTTATTCTATCAGGCCTAAGCAATTCCCCACCTACCCAAAAGGAAGCCAGTTTTATTCACTGTAAGATAAACTACAACGGTTACATATAGATCCAGATAAAGAAAAAAAAATGTGAAATTCTACTGCAGGAGAAAAAAAATACAACAAATGCTCAAAGACAAATTAACATTTTATATTCCTGCTTCTCCAGGATATTTCTTTAGAGAGAAAAATATTCCTTACAGTTTGCCTGGAGAAAATAATTTCCTGTCCAATTATTTCTTAGCCTATCCAAAGATACCAGTGAATGAGGAATGCCAAAAACCACTAGCAACTGAGCACTGCTGTAACTTTGCAAAGGGAGACAGAATACACAAAATTCTATTCTCCCAGGCAATAAACAGGGGAGGAAAACATTACTTTTAAAGAGACTGTGCTTATAGGTCTTTATGTATCAGCACCAAATGTTCACATGAATTATTCTGAGTAACTTTTAGGAACTAATATTTCCTAACAAAACAGGTAAACAATAAGGGAATAACTTCTAAGTACTCTTTTCATGGTAAGAGCCATAATATGACTGGCCTGTTTCTAAAGCTACTACAGATGTGCTAAATTTGGAAAAGGCATGCCTTATGCCTTACTGTTCAGCTAATTCACCAAAATACAGAACAGAATGTCTCATTTTGTGATTAAGTAAACAAGTTGAAAAAGTATTTTTAAATATAAAATCAAAACAATCCATCATTAGCTGAGCATAGTGGCACAAGCCTTCAACCCCAGGAATGGGGAGGCAGAGGCAGGTGGATCTATCTCTTTGTGTCCCAGGCCAGCCTAGTCTACACGACGAGTTGCAGGTCAGCCAGAGCTATAAAGTGAGACCCTGTCTCAAAAAGCAACAACAAAACCCAATTCATTATTACATTTGAGGGATAAACAACATAAAATGCCTAAATTAAAAATTGAAAGCAAGATTGACAACTAATAGTGTCAGTTCAAGTCTATGTAACCCTTTATTATATTTCATTGCAATATTTTGATTAACATTATACAAGTTTTCTCATTTCTTCCTCAGACTGCAGCAATTTTACTCTTGCTTATAATAGACTTCAACTCTGCAAATGGTTTAAGACAACTTTTTGCACCTTGAATTTACAAACCACTGGGTGTTAAAATTGCCTGAGAACCATTTTATTTTTAAGTTTTTATTTAAAGCTGCACCTCAAACCAAATCACAAAAAAAGGAAAAATTTAAACGTAAGGTGTTTCAAACAAACTTGTGGAGATACTGTGATACCAGTGTTTCAAAGACAGCCTACAGACAATTATAAAAAGGGCAACTAGTATACAAAATAATTCTATGGCAAATCTTGTTATAAAACCTCTTATAAATAAACATGTTTCATGATAGAAGATAAAAATTAAAAGATATTTAATTTTCCCCTGAAAATATGTAATTGCTCAGAACATGGGCTGAGTGTTTTGAAATCATATTGCTTCTTTGAAAAAAGAGAAGTATTTTAAGCAGGCATTACATTAACAAAATACCACACCATATCCACTTAAGTCTTTTGATCTCTAGGTTTAAGTACTATCCAAGAGAACCTTCTTAATGAAATGGATAAGGAAAACTTACTACACAGGAATCACAGGTTCCTTAATTTTTGATAGTCATCTTAGTAAATATAAAACATTAGCTACTTGAACGTTGGAGCTTGTAAAGTGCATTAGGCATAAGAAACAGCAGTAGTGCCAAATTCATTAAGTAGACTTGCTATCACCAATTGGGCAAAAAAACAACATTATAGTTTTCTGTTCAGATTTTATTTGAAATCTAATTCAAATTGTCAAAGCTACAAAAGGGGGAAGACATCTGTATTATCTGTCTAAGTCACAACATCCTAAAACAAAATACTATACTACTGCCAGCAGATCCATTGTACACAGTTCTGATGAAATTCATTAGCACAATAAAAATTTCATCTTGATAAACAGCCACAACAAAAGTAATTTATACAATATAAAACAATGACAGGTCTACAGATGCAGTTACTCATGAGTGTACACATGCATTCACAAACAAACAAAAAACCCCAGGAATGCTCTTTCATTAGATATTTTTTTGTGTTTTTGTGTGTGTGGTTTTTTTTTATTAAAAACAAAACAAAAGAAAACAAAATAAAAACCAGACAATTCAGGCACAAAACAAAATTGCATCTCCAATAAGTGACAGCATCTTAAAAACATATGTCAGTGTTTGTTTTTCTTTGACTTTTTATGCGACCTGTGTGGAGATCGGGACTGGGACCTGGATTTCTTCCCTGACTTTTTAGGGGATCTAGACCGCGATCGCCTAGACCTTTTAGGTGTCCTTGAACCAGATGGTGACCTGAGGAAACATACAAACAAGAACAATTTTTCAAATACTCTGCCATCAAAAGTGCCTAAAATGACCTCTAAGTAGGCATAATAAATGAACTAAGACCGCAAACTCAATTTATTCTTTACCTCCTATATACAAATGTGTTCAGTGATCCTGAGTTCACTGTACACTGAACTGATGATCATTAGCAGAGCATTTGTTTGAAAAGACAAATTTCTGAGTCCTCTACCGCCCTACTTGAGAATGTGCATTTTTAACAAGCTTCTCAGGTAACTGATACGGCCCCCAAATTTGAACCCCTAATTCACAAGATTAAATTCAAGTTGGTTGCTAAGACACTCACACAGTTCTAAAAACACAGCAGTAGCACACTGCATTATCTTGAGAGAAAATACTAACTCCTCTACTGCTATTCAAAGGTACCATTTAAGACAGCATAATTCTGTTAAGTTCTGTTTATGAAGATTTCCACAACAAAAAACCATACATGTACTGTAGATTTTGTCTTGTACCTGGTTTTATAAAAAATTCCAATAATATATTAAAGCAAAAAACAGCAACAACAAAAAATTTCTGAACCACTTTTGTAGAACTAAAAAGCTTAAAATACTAAATTACATACTGAAGAAATGGTATAAATAGTACTTTATTGACTTCTACTAATCTTGCCAAAACTTATCAATAACACTCCGGTGGAGGGGTGTTTCTTTTTCCCAGTTTTGACAAACTCTGAGCCTACTGTACAGAAACAAAGAGGAGAGTGAAAAGTAAAGCCCTCACCCCACAGGAACAATGGAAATATGAAAACTCTTGGCCATTTGGCCTTTAACCTGCTGAAGCTTCTGTGCCTCGGTCATGACAAAGACTGGGGTAGTGAAATGGGAGGAATAATCGAAAACGAAAGTGTATCTCCCTGGTTTTCTGAACGCCTTTAAAGAAAACATCTGCCAATGCTATTATTTTCCAAGCTGGTAGAATAACTAGTTAACTGGCATCTGAAATACTGTTTTAAAATGACTTGCGTGTACCTTTTGGTTTTTTTGCTAGCATCTCTAGGAGAATCTTTGTGAGATGACCTGGACCGGGAACTTTCTTTATGAGATCTTTCTGAACGCTCCGATCGCTCCGATTTGGGTGATGGGGATTTCACTCGTCTACCACTGCTACTGCGAGAGGGGCTGGGAGATGTGCTGTGTCGTCTTTTCCTATGATCAAAGTCACCAACACATTCCACAAGTGAGAAAAAAATAATTAGGTACTCAGTTTCATCTTTTTCAGACAGAGTCTCCCTGTATCCCCAGCTGGCCTGGAACTCACTGAGACCAGGCTGGCCTCAATTTCACAGAGATCAACCTGCTGTGGCCACCTTAATTTTCAATTTTTACTAAATTAGCTGGTAATCATTATCAATTTACATGACTTTACTGCTATTTTCTAACCACATTCAAAGTTTTTATATCAAAACAAGTCTTAAGATAGCTTGGCTCAAAAATAAGTAAATTCAACCAAATTGAATTTTCTTTTGCTGTAAGAGATCACTGGGATGGTTAACAAAATTTAAAAGTTTCTAGACTGGATAACAGCAAAGATTTGTTTTTTTCAATGTTAATTTCCTGATATGGTACATTTATTGAGGTTAAATGAATATGGTTAAGAGCATGGGGGGCACTGTGCTAGCCAAATATAATTAATGTGATGGGGTGAAAGAGACAAGAACTGAAAGCAAAAATAGAAATAGTTGAGCATGTGGGCAACGTGGGTAAAAGGTATGCAGGATTATTTATACTATTCTTGCAATTTCTGTAATCTGAAACTACATCAAAATAATAAGAGACCAAAAAGTGACATTTTTATTTAACCAATTTGTGTAATTTTGCTATTTATAAGCATCTTCAGAATGACTAAAACAGATTTTTATCTGCAATCACTTTGTTTTTATATTCAGAAAACTTCAATTCTGGTAACTGAAGCAACTGCTCCATTACATCAGACATTTAAGAACTATAAAACTAAGAAACATGGCCTATGAGATGGCTCAGCAGGTAAGGCACTGGCCACCAAGCCTCATAACCTTAGTTCAATCCCTGGAACCCATATGGCAGAAAAAAACTTCCACAAGTTGTCCCCAACTTCTACATGTGCACAGTGGCATGCATGTGCTCACACACAAAACAGCTGAGTAATAGTCTTTAAAAAAAGAAAAGAAAAATGGAAAGAGAAGTAAAGGCTAGAACGAAGGACTTAATGAGCAGAGCAAGTCACTGTGGCCGCCACACAGTCTCCTTTCAAGACTGGAAAAAGATGCTAACAGTAAAGGCAACACGAAGACCAAGTAAGCTGTTATTTCAGCTTTGGGTTTGATACCTAATAGTGTAACTGAATTCCCACACTGAATTAAGGCTAAGGATACCCTATGAACCAGGTAAAGAGATGATGTCCTAATTAAAGTCATGTGGCAACTAACTGCCCCATTCTCTCAGTTAATTCTGCCTCCTACAGGCAGCAGTCAAACATGTTTATCATGAAAAATCACTTTTAGTTTGTTGGTATCTGAGGAAAATATTACAAAACAAAATACCATTCTAAATCTTGAAAGAACAGGTATCTTAAACACAGCAGGCCGTACCTTTCTTTCCTTGTTGGAGTACACTCATCTTTTTCCTTCTTGTCTTTGGATCGGGATTCCAATTTTTCTTTATCCTTCTTGTCTCGTTCTCGTTCTCGTTCTAACTCTTTCTCCTTCTCCTGTTTTGTTTTTTGAAAGAATATATTTAGTTGCTTAAAAAAATGCCAATCTAAGCCAGGCGTGGTGGCCCACACCTTTAATCCTAGCACTTGGGAGGCAGAGGCAGGCGGATCTCTGTGAGTTCAAGACCAGCCTGGTCTACATAGCAAGTTTCAGGACAACTGGGGCTACAGGGAGACCCTGTCTCAAAAAAACCAAAAAAAAAAAAAAAAGCCAATCTAGACTAATCCATGTATCTAATCATATTTCTTATTTTGGGAAAAAAATTCTTCTTTTTTTTGGAGCTGAGGACCAAACCCAGGACCTTGCAATTGCTAGGCAAGCGCTCTAGCGCTCTACCACTGAGCTAAATCCCCAACCCTGTGGAAATAATTTTTTTTTTTTTAATGTGTATGTGTGTATTGCCTGCATGTAGGTAAGTGCACCCGTGTCATGCAATGCCCGTGGAGGACAGAAGAGGGCACTGGATCCCCTGGAACTGGAGTTACAGACAGTTGTTAGCTGCCATGTGGGTGCTGGGATTCGAACCCAGGTCTCCTGTAAGAACAGTCAGTGTTCTTAACCGCTGAGCCATCTCTCCAGCCCCAGAAACAATTTTTTTTTAATTTAAAGGTATGATACCACTTTTATTTGCAAAAAAAGGTCTCTCCATCTAGGAAACTAGCCATTTCTTATACTATATTAAATCATCATCATCATCATCTTTGAAGAGTAGCTAAATATTTACCAAGTGCTTATCACAGCCCAAGCAATGTATTAACAATTCTCCCCACACTCCTACAATAGTACTATTACCCTCAATCTAGATAGGAAACAAGATTCAGAAAGATTAAACACAATGTCCATGGTCACAATGGATAAAGTCAAAATTTCAGTTCAAGAGCTTCTGCCCCTTATCTCTACCCCTTGAAGAAAATGACTTTTCCATCACAGACTACAAGAATCTAGTTGAAAGCAAGTCTACCTGAATATACCAAGTTCTTTTAATAAAAAGTTCTTACCAAAGGCAAGGATTAAAAGTGGGGAAATGGCTATTCATAATAATCTCCCATTAAGATTATTAAGATTTTATTAGTGAGAAATAAATGCCAATTATGAAGGGAAATTTAATCCTAACTTATAAAAATATAAACTGACTACATGATATAATCATATAAACCAGAAAAATAATTGTTTGCTTTTCCCTAGATGTTATAACTGCCACTCTCACTTAAAATTCAAGCTTCTGTTGATGATAGAATAATTACAGTAGCAGATATACTGAGCCAACATAGTTTTGCAATAACAGGAAATAAATTTCTCAGTAATTAGTATGCACCAAAACTAGTTGACTCTTCTCATTTTTAGAAAGTGAGAAAGTGATTCTAGACATTGACAAAAAAATTTTATACAGCCAGGTAAGTATTTTGTTTTGTGGGCCCCATATATAATTCTTTTAACAACTACTCAACTGTACCACTGCAACAAGAAAGCAACCATAGACAATACCTATATAGGTAAACAGGCATAGCTGTGTTCTATTAAACTTTATTGACAAACAGACAAGGACCATAGTTAGCAGACTGTCAGCATACACCTTCTAGAAACACAATCTTGTCTCCATTTAATAATCATGGAATACAATACTACTAAACTAGTATTTCACATATCACCCATTTTCAGCTTGCTACCCTTAGGTGTCAAGCTAATAACCTGACACCATCCTCATAGGAACTCAAAGGGTATAGACAACTAGCATCATTAAAAAAAAAAAAAAAGCCGGGCCTGGTGGTGCAGGCCTGTAGTCCCAGCACTCAGGAGGCACAGTCAGACGAATCTCTGTGAGCTCAAGGCCAGCCTGGTCTCTATAGTGAGTTCCAGGACAGCGGGGGCTGCAGGGAGACCCTGTCTCAAAAAGACCAAACAACCAAACCAAACCAAAACAAAACAAAACCTCCCACAGAGTATAAGAGGTGCTAAGGAAATGACTTCCTTTAATGATCTGTAGAATCCATCTTCCTGAATGACAGAAGAGCAGAGAATGGCACAGGAGGTCTGTAGGTCTGTGTAGATCCAATCACTTGACTAAGCAGCTCCGCAACACCAAGTCTGCAAACTAACAGCTTCCTAACAACTCTAAGCTCCCCCATAAGCCCTTTTCTCTTTTCTCTTTTTATGGTGTTATTCTCATTGTAAAGAAGGTCAAGATACAGGTCAACAGCAGTTCCAACAAAAGCTCCAAGCTCTTTCAACAGTTACTACAGGGGATCCTGGTTCTAAACTTCTCTGCATATTTTGTTGTATAGAAGAATACAAAGTCCTCAAAAGCTTCAAATTCACTGATGAGGTAGCATTCTATCATTCCCTATACCTTCTTAGAAACAAGAAAGGAGTCCAAATGAACGTCTAATAGCAGTACTTCCCCATCCTCATCTCTACTGGTGTCTTGGTCATCCTACAATTACTGTTTTCTCACTATCATCAATGTAATGTCTTCCCCACAGGGTTTTCTAGTTCTGAAAGCATGTTCTTAGCAGGATTAATCTTTTGGACCATAGGTAATACCAAAATAAAACATTTCCAGTCGTCATTCAATGTTTACCATCATTTGCAACATACTTTAAGTATGCAATATACTTTTCTTTAAGCTATCTTTGAATTAAGTTTACACTAATACTCTACAAAGCTAAATAAGTACCTCTGGCAATGCCTAACACTGAGTAAACACTTCTTACCCGCTGGAGAAGTTTATCTCTGTAGTGTTCCACTTGCTCTTGGAAACTCTGGCCTGGTTTTTTAGGTCTTTTTCCAGATTCCAATTCATCCTGAAACTTCATAACTTTGAGCTGTGAAATAAGACATTTCTTAAATAAGGATTTTCGATAATACTTTTTCAAGCACTGTTTTTCTACTGTAGTAAGGCAGTACCTAGTTAGGGCTCAGTCAAAATAGAATCCCAACATAAATTTTTGCCAGCTAAGAACAGCCACACAAGATTCAAGCCATCAAACAACGGCACACATGTTCTCCGCATGGCCATTGGAGAGGACTCAAAAGTCATAAACAGCACTTCATATTCTCTAATGAACTTGGTATCTCGTTCCCCAAATTAGAAGGGAAAGGCAAGAGTACTTGTAGTGAGATTGAAGAGTCAGCAAGACATGATCAGATCTTTAAAAGAACAAAATAAAAATAAAGGCAGCATTCTGGTTGCAGCTCACATAGAACCAAACACAAAACTGCACAGACTGCAGGTTTCACCCCATTTACAGCAGTGTAATCACTAAATATCAAAACACAGAGAAGGGATTAAATCATATTCGAAATGTACCTTTAAAGACAGTAATACTGATTTTTAAAAACATCAGAATTCCTTGTTCCATTTCTTAAAATGTACCTTTTTGAATGCCCAGTGTTATTTATATAATATTCACTATAACACCTGCCGTAAAAGTAGACCACCTACATGTTAAGTTTTCTGGCTAATCAGGCACACAAAATCACACACTTATGATGGGCAAAAAATCTGAACACGTGTTACTTATACCTTTTCCTCTCAAAACAACTTATCAGTTACAGAGAAAGAGAAAAATATTAGAATAAGTGAGGCCAATTTCACTTTATATTGTCTAACTTTAAATACTTTGACCCCACCCCCATATACATAAGCTCCCGGAGATAAGGTCTTCCCAGATTAGCCTCATACTTATCATCCTCCTGCCTTGCTTGGCCTTCTGAGTGCTGTGATTACAGGTGTGTGCCACTAAGCCTGACCAAAAATTTTACTACTCTATAAAAATCATTAAAAAGAATAAATTTGGACCAATGAGATGGCTCAGTGGGTAAAGATGCCTGCCACCAAGCCTGATGACCTGAGATAGAACTCTGGGACACACAGTGGAAGGAGAGAATGGATTCCCACAAGTTGTCCTCTGACCACCATGCTTGCTGTGGTGCACACAAACATGCACGCACACACACAATAACAAATATAACTGAAAAAAATTTTTAAAGAGAATAAATTTATAGTATATTTTAAACTTAAAAATAAGACAATGGTGCCAACAACAAGCAGGTCGGATGGCTCAGCATATATGAATACTCGCCAGGAAAAGCCTGACAACCTGCGTTTAATCCCCAAAACCCACATTGAAAAAGCTGGATGTGGTAGCCTGCATCTGTAAGGTTAGCTTTCATTCTTCCAGCCATGTGGGAGGCAGGACAGGAGAATCACCTGGATTCTCCAGATTTAGTTAGTCTGGAGAATGCAGTTCATTCTGGAGAATTCTCCAGTTCTTCCAGTTCACCTAGAAGCTCCAGATTTAGTTAGTCTGGAGAATGCAGTTCATTCTGGAGAATTCTCCAGTTCTTCCAGTTCACCTGGAAGCTCCAGATTTAGTTAGTCTGTAGTATGCAGCACAAAAGAAACAAGACCCTGCCTCATCGTGGAAAGAGAAAACATATTCATGTTATCCTCTGACTTCCACGTGAATGTCATGGCACAAATGCACCTGCATTAACATATCTCTCACACACACCCACATACAAAAACATCACAAAATGACCAAAATAAAAACTGGAAGCTTGGGGCTAGAGAGATGGCTCACCAGTTAAGAGCACTGACTGCTCTTTCAGAGGACCCGGGTTCGATTCCCAGCACCCACATGGTGGCCACGAACCATCCTTAACTCCAGTTCCAGGGGAATCCAAAGCCCTCTTCTGACCTCCGCGGCACTGCACAACATGGGTGCACTCACATACATGCAGGCAATATACTCATACACATAAAATTTAAAAAAAAAAAAAAAAACCTGGAGGTTTATAGGAGTTTGAACGATCCTTGATTTTAAAAGGTGACAATACGCTCCTCTCCAACCAAGGTAAGGAAAGGCAAAAGACATGAGGACAGAGGCCTCAGAAGACCAAGGGGAGAAGCACAAAGACTCCAGGTGGCGCCATCGTGCTGCCAGTCCTAACCTTAACCTTGTTTTACTTAAGAGATAGAAAAAACCTTCTTGTCTTTACAGTATCTTACTATACTTTACCCAGATTACTGATATGACACTTAAATAGGCTATATGCTACTAAAGCATTTTAGGAAATGTAGAATGGAAACAGATTACAACTATCCTCCTTGTCACCCTAATCAAAGAAGTGTTTTCACACAGTTTGAACACCATGGAGGTTTTTTCTAAGTTCTCTAATTTTTATCCCTTTCTACCTAAATCACATCTACAATCAGGGTTCTAAAGTCAGAGTCTCTCCATCTTTCTAAAGTCTTTAAAAAATCTGTGCTTTTCATGTGCATGATGAACATCACATTTTAAAAGATGCTAAAATTGAGGGGGAAATCAGGAAAATATAAACACTTGAGTTTACAACTGTGTGAAACCGCCCATGTTCAAAGTAATTCTGTTCTGTAGAACATAGTTTTGGTAAAATGATCTAAAAATTAAGCACCTATGAGTCAAATAACTGAACAGAATGTTAAGAGAAAAGGAGAACCTTAAATTTTTGCTTGTTTTTTGATTTGTGTGAATAAGTGTGTATGTAGGCTAGAGGTCAACCTCAGTTAGTGTTCCTCAGGATGGCCACCCACCTTGGTTTTTGAGACTCTTTCACAGGAACCCAAGGCTCACCAGTTATGCTAACTACCCTGTCTGGCCAAGAAACCTCAAGAATCCTGTCTCCACCTCCACAGTGATGGGATTACAAGTGCACACTACCAAACCTACATTATTTACATGGGTTACGGGGACAAATTCAGGTCTTTAAGCTTGCATGACAACAAGTATTTCACAGAACACACTATTTCCCCAGACTGTGTTTTAATTTTTTGAGACAGTTTCCCTATACGGTCTAAGCACCAAACTTGTGATCCCCCTTACCTCTGCCTCATGTGTGCAGGATCTATAGACATCTGCCACCACAAATGGTTGGAAATATTTTTCAAACCATTACAAAATTCCAACCTAATAGATTCTGATGATATGGGCTGAGGCCCAAACACAATTTCCATAAAATAGTGACCATACTTCTCAATACAAAGGGAGGTAGTTTCGATGCAAGGTTTACTAGTCACCTACATCCCTGTAGTTTTGGGACAAACAGGCATCACATTCTCACTCAATCGTTGTTGATAGTGGTCATGGCAGAGAGGGCTCCTTCTTCACCACTACCACAGAAGACCCTTCACTTGGATCCCACCCTTCTACCTCCATCCTCTATTGGTAGAACTGAGGAAAGCAGCACAGGAGAAGGCAAGTCCACCCTAGGCCCTACTCTAAGTGGTACCTGAAAATTAAGAACTCACTCGTAGTCAACACAGTACACATCTATAAGTTTTAGAAGTGATTTGCAGAGAACATTAGTATTGTATAACACAAATACTTCAGATTTTTATTAAGCTCGGGCTAAAAAATGTTCAGCTGTTAAATGCCTTTATTTGGACCTTATAGGATACATTTGGGAAAAGGAACAGCCTTTAAATATTTTTACTTATTATTATTTTTCTTATTTTGTGTACAAGTGTATTGCCTGCATGCACGGAAGTGCACCCATGTCATGCAATGTCCACAGTGGCCAGAAGAGGGTGTCAGATCCCCTGAAACTGGTGTTAGGATGGCTATTAGCTGCTGCTACGTGAGTGTTGGGAACCAAACTTGGGTCCTCTGGAAAAGTAGTCTTAACTGTTGAGCTATAGTTCCTGCCTCAGGAACAGCTTTTAAAGAGAAAAACTACAGTACATAAAATATAGTATAAAATAAAACTAATCTAGAACTTTAGTTAACAATTTCCTAATAAAACCACTAGATTTTAAAACAGAAAGTGATAACCAAATACAGGGGCAAAACAAAGTTAATGGCCCTGAGTTCTAGTTCAAATTTGCTACCAATTGTGAAACTTTATTCCATATGACTTAAATTCTCATAGTTAACAATGGAGAAGGATTTAGATAAGATGAAGCTATATTTTAAAACTAGGATTTGGTTTATATTCCAAATTATGATACATGTACTATGACAGCTGGGGAAATGACCACTGAATACGTAACAAAGGCACAGGGACCAGAGTACAGATTACATATAGCACATATATACCACAGCACTTAAGTGGAGGCTGGAGGACAACCTATGCGAGTTGGTTCTGTCCCTCCACCATGTAGGTCACAGGGATCAAACTCAGGTCATCAGGTTAAATGGCAAGTGCATTTACCCACTGAGCCATTTTACCAGCACTGTATTGGCATTTAATTTATAAAGGGTAACTTCAATTATCAAGATAATATGTTTTTGGAGGCTAACAACTGTCCTTAACTCCAGCTCCAGGGCATCTGATGCTTTCTTCCAACATCCGTGGGCACCGCATGATACAAGTGCACTACAAACATGTAGGCAATACACTCATACACATAAAAATATAAAAATATTACAAAAAAATAAAATGTTTTTATTGAACTCAGTAATTATTTCTACACCTCTCTTCCCAGCCCTTGGGACTGAAACCAGAGTCTCACGGAAGCTAAAGAAAATACTCTAGCAATGAACAACATCCCTAGACATACCCCCCATTACTCCCAGTTGTTTCCTTTTTAATTTTGAGACAGAGTTTGCTAAGTTTCCTAAGCTGGCACTGAACTCTCTAGGTAGCTCAGGCAGGCCTCAAACTTATAATTTTCTTGCCTCAGTCTCCCAGTTACCTTGGGGTTACATGCATGCTTCTTACTCTTAAGAGCTTCATCAGATCAGGAAAGTAGAGCTTTTCAGTAAGATAGACTGATTAGTAAGTCACAAAAGGGTATATGCAGGATGAAAACAGTCCAACAGTGTGTTCACTGCTATACAACACCTTTTTTCCCTAAAAATGTTAAGGAACATATGAATGTACTAGGAAAAAATGAATTATTCACTCTAAAAGCCTCACATTTCCACTTAGGCTGAGTCCATGTAAAAATGCTTTCAGGGGCTGAAGAGATGGCTCAGCAATTAAAAGCACTGGTTGCTCTTGTAGAGCACTCACATGGCAGCTAACAACCATCTGGAACTCCAGTTCCAGGGGAATCCAATGCCCTCCTCTTACCTCCGCAAGCACCGCACAACACAGATGCACTTACATACATGCAGGCAATATGTTTCATAGACACAAAAATAAAATAATAAAAAATGTATTTAAGGAAAAAAAAAACAAAAACAAATCCAAAATGCTTTCTTAACACTGGTTTGGTGATACTGGAGAAGGGGTGGGAAGGAAACGAAGTCATTAATATGGCACGTATTAAGGCTAGAGATGGCTCAGCAGTTAAGAGCACTGGCTGTTCTTCCAGAGGACCTGGGTTCAGTTCCCAGTACCCACATGGCGACTAACAACTGTCTGTAATTCCAGTTCCAGGGGAATTCGATGCCCCCTTCTGGCCTTTGCAGGCACTGCATGATACAGGTGCATAATACATTTAGGCATAATACTCATACACAGAAAATACAACTTAATTAAAATATGTTAGGTATCCTAAGTTAGGAAGAAGACAGGTGCTGGAGCTGGCATACAGCAGGCCCTCAAAGTTATGACTATTAAATCAGTACTAATGGGCAGAATATTCTCATCTAATCTTTTCAGATTCTAGACTGACTGACTATTCTGCTGGCATTTACTGGGAAAGCTTGTCACCTTTGGGAGCATTCCACAATGCTTCTCTCCTCATGAGGCCCTGCCCCTTCCTTCAGTTGTTGCTGGGTTAGAGAAACATTTCTGCAAATAAATTCTCACCACCCATGCTCCTTCCTGCAAGCAATCCTAATGAAAGTCAAGGAAACACACCTCTCCACCAAACAAACATGAAGTAGTAGTTAGAAAGAGGAAGGGGTCAGCAGAAGTGGGAGGGAGGCAAGAAGATAATGGGGGCTGACAATAATCAAAATACCTTATATACAAGCTTTAAAATGTCTTATGGACCCATTGCATGTACAATTAATACATGCTAATAAAGTCAAAGTTTTACGCACAGAGACACAATCTCTCTCTCTCTCCCTCCCCCCGCCCCCTCCTCTCTCCATGTTTCTCTGACATGTCTGAGTAGCCTTTGTTTAAAAACTAAACAGCATTTTAAAAAGCAAAGAGGACCCCAAAGAGCAGTCAAAGTCTGCTTGAGATAGTTTGGGCTTCCCACAAATGTTTTCCCTCTTAATGTTATTAAGACTCAGTCAATGTATACTCTGTACCCTTCCACAAAAGGTACAAACCTCTAAAATGAATCCATTGAAATAAAATACAAGTATAATTCAAAACTGCCAGAAAGTTTTACTTTTTCTTAGATATATACTATGTCTATTCATAATGTACTGGATTTCCTACATGATCAATCTATCCATTTCTTCAGAGAATCTCCTATATTCAAACACGAGAGATACAGTGATAAACAGGACAGACATGCCCTTTCCCCTTATAGAACAGCAGCCTAGTGGAAAAACTAGACATTAAATAAACAAGGAAACAAATCTGCAATTAAACAAGATGTGCATACACACACAAGTAAAACCACACAGAGGTAAACAGGAAAAGGAAACGAGACTAGAAGAAAAGACAAGCTGCTGTGAGAGAAAGGGTATTTGAACTAAGAGGCCTGACCCAGGGTTAACGTTATGGGGTTTCTAAGCAAAGCATGGAATGGATAAGGAGGGAGGCCAAAGGGGACTTTAGTCTGGTAGAGAAAGTGAAAGGTGTAGCTTTCACTTCAACACAATGCTAACCTCAATTTCTCGAAGTTTAGCTCGTTTTTCTTCACTCATTTCAGAGTACTTGGAAAACTTGGACTCAGTCATTTCTTCTTTGATTGGATTAGAATACAGATGATGTTCTTCAGATTTGGAACTCTGAGTATCTTCTTCATCTTCACTTTCTTCTTCTTGACTTTGAAATAAAGTGAATATATTGTAAGTCACAGTAAAGAAAACAAAGTGTTACATTTTGTAATTTGGATACTTTGTTTTTCATTATCTTTGAGCTTAAATGTTAACAAAACTTAAGAAAAAAATTATCTCTAAAATATTTTCTGCAAAGCATTTGTACAAGTTTTATAAACAATTTTGAAAAACTCTTGCTTCCTCCACAGAAAAAGTTGATCCCCAACACACTCATATTTTAATCAGCTCTGCTTACATTAGTATCTGTGTGCTTTTCATTCTGCAACAAACTTTCTTGCAATAATGAAATTAAATGAATAATCAATGACTTTTGCATACTCCTCAGTTCAGTGATTTCATGAAGCTTTATGTTTGTTTGTTGTTCTTTTTGAGAGAGGGTCTTCCTAGCCCCAGCTGACCTGGAACTCCCTATGTAGAACAGGCTGCCCTTGAACTCAGTCTGCTTCTGCCTCCCAGTGCTGGGATCAAAGTTGTGGGCCACCACACTTGGTCAAAGGTTTATGTTTTAAAAGCCAAATATTTATCATTCACTTAGCAGAGCCTAATCTAGAAAATGAGTTTGTCACAGTCACCGTCAAACAACAAATGCAGCACAGAAAGATCTCAGCCGATTCGTACTTTACCCTAGTAATAAAGCAATCTACAAAGTTTAAGCACTAGGACATTCATGTTACAGTTGATCCTAAATTTTGTACTGGTTCTAAGTCACATACGTAGAAAACAAAAACCTGAGTACTACCATGGCTAAGTTACACAGACTACAAAGAAACCAAAGCCTACTGTCACTCCAGAAGCAATTCACTGCATGGGGCTAGAAAAAAATTAATAAAATGTCCCTGACGCACAAATGATGAGTGCTTAAAAAAAAAAAAAAAAAAAGGAGGAAAATATTTTACATTCTGGGGCCTGGGGCTCAGTTTAAGAGTACATGTGTTATTGGAAAATAAATCTGGTTACAGTCAGTTTGTAAGTAAACAAAATTCCTCAATAGGCCTAGTGGCACATACATGCAATCCCAACTACTCAGGAGGCTGAGGAAGAAGAATCACAAGTTCATGGTCTGTCTAGGCAACTTTTAGGCCAACCTGGGCACCTTAGTAAACTCTTGTCTCAAAAGAGTAAAAACAGACTGCAGACATTAACTCAACGGCTGCCCCCTCCCCCATCCCCCAAAAGTCATTCCATATCCTTTGGTTGAAATAATCGAATTTTGCTAGATGTGGTGGTGCATGCCTTTAATCCAACCACTTGGGAGGCAGAAACAGGTGGATCTCTGTGAGTTTGTGGCCAGCCAGGTCTGTTCCAGGCAAGCTGCAGCTATAAGGAGACCCTGTCTTAAAAAAAAAAAAAAAGAATCCAATTTTTTCCTTTGTGTTGTGTTTGTATGATGTATGTATGTGCATACATAGCCACACACAAACATGGAGGCCAGAGGAGGATGGCGGGTGTCTTTCTCTATCCCTCTTCACATGCAATTATAATCACATTTGAGAAAGAACTAGATGGTTGGCACGAAACATTAACTATCTTACTGAATCATATTCTTTTTTTTTTTTTCTTATTGAGACAGGGTCTTCCTGTAGCCCCAGCTGGCCTGGAACTCACTATGTAGACCACCTGTCTCTGCCTCCCGAGCACTGGGATCAAAGGCATGCGCCAACCACACCCAGCCAGAATAAGATACTATTTTAATAATTTTAAATATGACGTTTAAAAGTTACTATGCTAATGTTCTCAAGGTCTGAACAGCTTTTTAAAAATTGGTTTTGGCCTTAGCTCTTAGTTACTAGCTCTATCTTCAGATCTTGTTATAGGTTCTGCAACTTTATGAAAAATGAAATTTCTAAATTCTAAATCAATACCAAATTCATTACAAATGACATTACTTTTTAGACTTCCTCTCCAAATTGTTATAAATGCTACTTTTTAAAAATCACATTTCTGCCACAAATACAGTAATGTATGTTATATAAAGCAGTCTTAAGGAAAAAGTATATTTTGATTTGGCCACTAGAGAGTAGTAGTGAGGCATAAGAGATTCTGAAGGATTAGAAAGCTCTATGTGAAGCACTCCTTGCATTGTACTTTCATCAAGTTACGTTTCTATGAACTGTTCCCAACTCTGGCACTCCTCAAGAGTTTCAGAGCTATTTCCATTAGTGGTCCACATTTCTATTTTGTGACTATTTTGTCATCAGTGCTGAGTTGTTCCAATCACACCAACATTTCTGAAGATTTCATTGTCAGTTTAATTCATCACATCACATTATTTCTATAAACTGCGGACTGATCACACTTCCTTAACAATCCAAGGCTCATTTGCTTTATTAAATGCACACAAATGCCTGCATTGTGCTAGCACACAAAGGGCTTTCCATTTGAGAAGAATAAGACTACAGAAAATTTTTTAAAAAACAAAAAGTGTGACACTTCCTAAAACTTATTAATGTAAATTTGAGGATTTTATTACAATGTCAAATGAAAAAATGATGAGTGATTACAAAAGAAAAAGAAATCAAAATTATAACTTCTCTATACTTCAAAGCCCCCTCCATTCATTCTCAGTTCTGATCTTTAATTCAAAGTAACAAAATTGTGGCCGGGTGTGGTGGCACATGCCTTTTATCCCAGCACTTGGGAGGCAGAGACAGGCAGATCTCTGTGAGTTCAAGGCCAGCCTGAACTACATAGCAAGTTCCAGGTCAGTTGGGGTTATAGGGAGACCCTGTCTCAAAAAAAAAAAAGACAACAATAATAATAATGATAAAGTAACAAAGTTGTATTTAGGAATGCACTATCTGAAAGAGGAGTATAATCTTCCCACTCAACATTTTAAAAATCACTTTTGGTGGAATCTAAAACAATATTTGATGACAGAGATTTCAAACAAATACAATTGATCAAATATAGCAACAGGGTGAGAATGTATAGCCTAGGGTAGAAAATAAAGGAGAAACTAGAAACTTGAAGACCAGAAACCGAAACTCTTATTCACTGGAAAAACAACAGAGAACTAAAAATGACCCTCTAAGTTTTTTAAAAAAGTGATGTTTTCCTCTCCACTACTACTTCAACCATAGCTGTTAATGAAAAGGGGGATATGTACAAGAAACAGAACATCTGAAACTTAGATTCTTACTTTTGATTTTCTTCTTCTTCAGATTCTTCATGCTGGTCAAATAACTCCCATTTAGAAGTTGTCACAGCTGAGTGGAGGGAAAAGAGGATGTAATTCCGTAAGGAAAATTAGCATTTTTGCTATAGCACAGTAGCAGCCCAACTTTCAAACTGAAAGTTTGTATTACAGAAGTTTTTATCTAAGTTTATTTATTCTTTCAATAGCCAATTCAATGTGCCAAATCTTTTTTTCTCATACCTACACTATAATTTTACTTAAATTCAGAAATGATAAAAATTGCAGTAATTATTTCTATGCTGAATGGCAAGATTTGTTTTCAAATCTACAAATATTAACAAACACAAAGAGACATGTAAATGAAAACAGCAAGTCACCCAATAAGCACTGTGCGAGGGTCAAAGCTTGGCTTCTCTGAAGCTGACCTCTCAGGAAACTTCGAACAGGCACACAGCTTCCCATCTACACTTTCTATTGAAATGCCTTAACTGGAAAGGTTTTTGGTGATTCCTCCAATTACTCGTAAGGGAAGGATTTAAGAAATCATTATAGGTACACCAACAATGAAGCTTGTGACAGATACAAAGCAGCACAGTAACACTGCATCTTAAGGCTGAGATACAATAAGGAAAGCATACATTATACACATCTACATACAAAGATGCCAATGATGTTTATCGGAACTCAGTTTCTTTCACCTAAGTGCTGCGGATTAAACTCTGCCTTACACATGCTATGCAAGCATATAACACTGAGTGACATCACTGTCCCAGTATCAATTTTTAAAAGCTTACTATTTATACTTTATTCACCTTGTGCTTCCAATTCAGACTCATCTACAGCCTCCCATTTTGATGGGGCAACTTTAAATATAGGCTCATTCTTCTTTGAGTCTTCAGCTGCATCCACTATTAAAGAAAAGAGGAGCCATTAGGTTTATTAGGAGAAGATAGCTCAAATTAATGTGCTTAGGGTTATTTACTAAATTATTAAATGGGAAAATTAAAGTAAGTCCATACATGGAAAATATTGACAGCATCAAGAACAAGGATTATGTTTAACTCACCTCTTTGCTAGCTGAGGTCCCATTTTTAAACCGTACAAAGTAACCTCCCTCACGCATATAGCACATATTCCTAGACCCCGAGTGAAAATCTGAAACTATGAACAACTCTGAACCATAAATTTACAAAGCTTTCCTAACCAGACAGATACAAATTAGGGACAGTAAAAGAGAACAAAAGTTATCATAAAAGAAAATTGTTAGAATTTTTCATTTCCTACTTGCAGGCCAAAGCTGACAGTGGTTAACTAAGTATAAACAGCAAAGTGGTAAATGGGGGTAGAGGACTACTGCATAGAGAACTCAGGTTAACATTTTAGGTAAATGGAGGAGAGACAGCAAAAAACAGAAACAAACAAAAATACCTGTACTTAATCATTGTCTAAACTAAAAAATTCATACATTATTCAATTTCAATGCAATTTTATTCCACTGGAAAAGCTGAACCTGTAAGGTGGAAAAAACTAGTTCTAGAATAGATAAACCCAGACACTTGGCTGCTACCCACTTATAGCTAGGACTCAGTGTTTTCAATGCCATAGAACAGGTTCTATTCTCAGTTGGTGTAATTCATTTCTGGGGCTCAGTGGTTAAGAACACAGGCTGTTCTTACAGAGGACACAATTTCAGTTCCCAGCACCCACAAGGTGGCTAACACCTGTCTATAACTCCAGTTCCAGGGAATCTGATATTCTCTTCTAGTTTCCACTGGCATTGTACAGATGTACTACACTTACATACATGCAGTAAATACACATAAATAAAACAAAAGAGCACATACCCCTCCTCCAGAGGAACTGAATTCAGTTCCTAGCACCCACATCAAGTAGCTCACAACCATGTATAACTACAGTTCCACGGACTCTAATACTATCTTTTGGTTTCCATGGGAACCTGCCCTCTGTGCAGATAGCACACAGAGGCACATATACATACAGAAAAATGAAAATAAAAAAAAAAAACGAATCTTTAAAAAAAAAAAACAAAAAAAACGAGGCCGGGCGTGGTGGCGCATGCTTTTAATTCCAGTGCTTGAGAGACAAGAGGCAGGCAAATCTCTGTGAGTTCCAGGTCAGCTGGGGCCACAAGAAGATCCTATCTCAAAAAAACCAAAAACCAAACCAAACCAAACCAAAACAAAACCCAGCCATTTGGCATCATTATGACTATAAGTGAACAAAATATTTTTGCATATAGTTTTCTTATAACTAAGATCAAAAGAAAATTTGCTAATATTATACAAAGGCAACTGTCTCAAAACACAAGGAAGACTGTAATAATAATGCCTTTTCCTTGGCAAAGTCAAATACATTGTTAGGTATCTGAATTTTAAATGCCAGCAAAATGTCACAGGCAAAAATTAAAACATTTCCCCATGCCAACATGTGTGGAAATTGAAGGATTTTGGTAATTAAACTTGTGAGACTTTATCCTTAAAATGTGAACTTACAAGGCACTCCATCTAGATCATCATCAAGACTTTTTATAGGGACTCCATCGAGATCATCAATGGGAGTAGCATCAATGGGAATTCCATCCACATCTTCCAGAGGTGCACCATCAAGCTCTTCCTCAATGGGGGCACCATCGAGGTCATCTGGTACATCCTAGGGAAATATGTTCTACTGTAATACTTCCCTTAACTTGCTAAAGTCTTATCACTAGGAGATTAACTTCAAATCCAGTACTAGCCAACTTGGCTGAATATTCATATTCTCAAATACTATGCAAGGACATGCTTTATCATCCAGTCCGCCAAACAGCAATCACCTACACATTTATTTACCTAATATTTGCCAAGCGCTTTTTATTGGTGCCAGGTACCATGTGACTCAACGATGAGCAAGATCAGGTTTGGTTCTTCTGTCACAGAGCTTAGTAAAAGTTTTTGTAGTTATTTGAGGAGGAAGTGTCAGAAAATTAAGATAATTGCAATAATACATATATAAATAAAAAGGGCATATCACACCACCTTACAAGTCAAAAAAGACACCCTAAAGTTATACTCAGTCTGAGAGCTGATAACACAGAAGTTCCAGAAAGAGGGGAGGAATATGTACAAAGGCCAATGGTACACTGAAGAAACAAACAAGAGTCTGAGAAGATGGCAGACTAGCTAGCAGTTACTCAAGCAGAGTGGCAACATAAAAATAAATATATCAACTCGCAAAGAGAGAAACAGAAAGCTTCTGAAATTCATGAAGGAAAAGAAAGAGCAGAAGCAAAGGTATAGGCAAAACACAAAAGCAGTTTGCTGACTTCCAGAACTTCTTCCAAAAGCAACTTATTTTAACCTCCCTGAATGTTACTGGGGACTGGGCCTTCAAATGGACTGTTCATTAAGCTCCCCACCCCGCACCCCCAATCCAGGAGATAGCCAAATTAAAAGATGCAGAAATATGAACAAACTATGAACCATATGACTCCTCCAAAAGGTCCTGACTCCTCACCTAGTACTAATGGAGAGATGCTAAAGTAGGCAAAATGCCAGATGAAGACTCAAAAGTTTTCTTGTAAAAACAATGAATGATACAAAACAGGCCTTAAAGAGCAGAGTCAGTAATAGGAAAACACTCTAACAATATAAAAAATTCAGTAAGTAAAATAAGAAACACAGCTGAGAGCCAGAGAGATGGCTAGGCATATAGACACATGCCTGACTGACAATCTGATTTCAATCCCTGTATCCTATAAGGTGGCAGGGAAGAAATGATTTCCAAGAGTTAGTTGTCCTCTGGTACTGTGGCAAGCACCCACTTGCACATGTACACAACACACACACAAAAGTTAAAAAGTAAAAAAACTAAAAACAAAAACCAAGCAAACAAAAAACAACAATAGAAAGCATCACCAATAGACTGCTACACAGAAAAAATATCAAGAATGGAGGACAAAATTGACGAAATAATGCCTTCAACTATCAATAAGGAAAAAAACAAAACAAAAAACATGCATTACTACAAATATCCAAGAACTCTGGGATCTGATCAAGAGCCCAAGCCTAATCATCCATGTGATAAAAAGAGATAAATTCTAAAGACAAAAGGATTTTAGTCAATGAAATTTAGGAGCAATAAGTTACACGAGATACCCAACACAACTTAAAAACTGGTTTTGTGTTAGATAATTTTTGCCCAATTAGGCTAATACAAATGCTGTGAGCATGTTTAAGGTAAGTTAGGCTAAGCTCCCAGGTTCAGTCAGACTGGTATCTCAATAGGAAGCCAACTTACAGTTAAGTTTATTGGGACCTCTTGTAAATCAAAGGATTTCTATATATATTGTCTGTCTTCTACTAATACTCCACAAATCTTTTCATGTCATCAAATCACATACAGTCATAACACTGACAATTCCTATTATATATCATTGTGATTCCTGAGCTCTGGCATAATATTCACTATTTAATGGTAAACAGAAGATATTTCTCAAAAAGAAATGTTATATGTGTTAACACTCACCTTGCCCCAAACAATTTTTAAGTACAGAATGCCTACCTCTGTTTCCTTTTCTTCAATAATATTTACAAGTCCTAAGAAAATATTTTGTAGTTTGATCAAAAATGGTTCTGGATAGATTGCCCAGTCTTCCCATGCTCTGAAGCAGGTCATTACCCGTTGCTGAAGAATCAGAAAACAGACAGCAAATAACTCATTGAGGCAGTATGCCTCAAATTTCATGAGGATAACCATCATAATTTGCTGAATTTTCCTTTAAGCTGGTAGGTACTTGGGGAGGGGTGGGGATAACTGTACATATCATTTCAAAAAGATTAAGGCAATTCAATCTATCTTCCAACTAAACACAATAAAGCCATAAAAATAATAGGTAAAAAGGCCAACTGCTTCTTATTAAATAAGGTGAACTCTCATGTTGTTCATGGTGTATGTGAGCCACATCCTGAAGTAATTCTCTCATAGTAATTTATGAAGACTGGAAACCAAAGTAGCCAAGTTTTAACCTGGGTTCATCATGAGCCAGAAGTATTTCCCAACTCTGGTTAACACTTTTCTCTCCCTGTTCTATATACTTTTCTATATGCTATAACTTTTGATCAAAACTTATAAAAAAGTTTTAGTGGCGTTGTTTGAACAACTATATAATGGGGGTCACTGGGCATTTTCCAAGCTAAAAAAAAAATTTTTGGTCTTTTTCCAATGAAAGTACCTTCATTTATTCAATTATTAAAGTTTTCTCTTTGCGGGGGAGGCTTTGACTTTTTCTTAACACTGGACTATGGCTTCAGAGGTTTTTTTTTTTTTTAAATAACTGAATACACTCGTTTCTTCAAATTATTCACTGTATTAAATGTGTATTTATGATCTATATTTGAAAACTAGAAATTTTAAGTCACCCATGCAACTTCTGAAGATCAAATTTCCCAATTACTATCAAAGGCCACCCTTAAGCCACCTTTGTGCACCCACATGGTATTTAGCTAGTAGCCAGCTTCCAGCACTTATCTGCCAACTACAAAATTGGTGGTGTACACTCAATTTCTGCCAAGTTCTGCACCTGGACACAGTTGTGAATGCCGAGTTTTAAATGGTACAATGACTTCACATTGGGTAACAGTGGGGCCTTTCCTATGGTAGATGGCACTAAGGCGATTCAATCTCCCCATTTTCTGAGAAAGGAACATAGACCAAAACGATAAGTTCTTCCAGAGACCCTGGGAGATGTTGCCCTGCCACCCCAGCATGCCCAGGGTAATGGCAATTCCTTGCTGCCAGTGGGTGGGCTACAGTTATAGGCTACACTAGAGCTGCCAACACCCTAAAGACACTTTCTAAACAATCATGAATAACTAAAATATAGATGTTCCTGATCCAAATTATACATACCTATTACAAAACAAATGGTCTATATTTCACAGAATGTATTCTGTAAAAACAACTCAAGTATTAAAAATATTTAAATAGGACTGGAGAGATGGCTCTGCTCTTATATAAGATCCAAGTTCAGTTCCCAGAACCCACATCTAGCATTTCACAACTTCCTGCAAACTCCAACTCCAGGGGATCCGACCTCTACGGGCACCTGCACACATGTACATACTCATAGCCACATATGCATCATTAAAAATAGTAATTTTTAAAAAAATTTAATAAAAACATTAAAAATTTCATACAAAACTAAAAAATACCTAATAACATAAGTCAATATTTTTAAGTTTCATAGTGCTTTTAATAATAAAGGTAAAATGTAAATAGTTTTAAAATAGTAATTTCTAAAATATCTAAGTTCTTAAACCTTATGCTTGTCTAATTTACCTTTCTAGCCTTCTCTATTTAACACAGAGCAAAAACAATAAAATACACATACCTTAAAATTTTCAGATTGTAAATGGCCTTGAATTGTACGATAGGTAGCATTGAGGTCTGAAAATATCTGACAAAGCTTTGTTTCAAAACTGAAATTAAAACAATACATTCTTTAAAATACAATTTGTTTAAAAGCTTACATTCTCTTCAAAATGCTAGGCAATGTAAAACACTCCTGGGCTTATAGAGTAAGTAAACTGAAGACATTTTAAATGCCAGTTTTCTTCACTAGCAAGCAACTTTATATTTGGGATGCATTTAGTCATCTGGTCAACTTTATTTCATAAAATAGCAAACTTAAAAGGCAAATGACATATAAGATAGGGAAAAAAAACCTACTAACATAAGTAAAAGTAGGACTCAAGTTGACCTGGAACTTATATATATCTCCAAAGATGACCTTGAACTTTTGGTCCTCCTGCCTTGGTCCTCCTGCCTCTCACACCTCCAGAGGTTGGCACTGCAGGCATATACCACCACACCTGATTTTATACAGTGCTGAAAATCAAACTGAAGGGCGTTGTGTATATTAGCAAACACTACCAACTAGCTATCCTCTGCTCCCGACTTGTGTTTTAAAAGGATCACCCGAATGACATGTCGAGAATAGACTATGGAATATAAGAGGGGAGATGAGTTAAGAGACTCTTGCTGTAATTCACGGGAGACTATGGTGGCTTGGGCCACCATAGTCAGGACGGTGTAGACACATTGTAAAATAGAATCAGCAAAAATTGTTGGTGGGAGCTGGAGAGAGAGCTTAGCAGTAACTCCAGCTCCAGGATCACCCGAATGACATGTCGAGAATAGACTATGGAATATAAGAGGGGAGATGAGTTAAGAGACTCTTGCTGTAATTCACGGGAGACTATGGTGGCTTGGGCCACCATAGTCAGGACGGTGTAGACACATTGTAAAATAGAATCAGCAAAAATTGTTGGTGGGAGCTGGAGAGAGAGCTTAGCAGTAACTCCAGCTCCAGGGGATCTGACATCCTCTTCTGGCCTCTGTGGGCACTGCACATACGTGATATACTTGCAATATATATATATATATATATATATGCAACAAAACATTCATACATAAGAAAAAAACTTAAAAAAAAAATTGGGGCTGAAGAGATGGCTCAGTAGTTAAGAGTGCTGGCTAGCCAGGCATTCCTAGCACTCAGGAGGCATAGGCAGGCAGATCTCTGTGAGATCAAGGCCAGCTTGGCCTACATAGCAACTCTGTGAGAGCAAAGCCAATCTGGTCTACATAGCAAAAGCTCCAAGTCATCTGGAACTACAGGAAGACAAAGATGAAGACGAAAGAAGAAAGAAGAAGGAAGAAGAAAAAGAGGAGGCAGGGGAGGAAGAGGAGGAGAAGCACTGGCTGCTCTTGCAGGACCTGGGTTCCTGGGTTCAGATCCCAACACCCACATGGTGGCTAACAACTGTCCCTAACTCCAGGTGCAAAGCATCCAATGCTCTCTTCTCGCCTCCCATGGCACTTCACACACATGGTCCAATTATATACATGTAGGCAAAATACTCATACACATAAAATAAAAAGCAATCAACTAAAAAAAAATGTTGGTGGGCAAGGTGTGAAGTTGAAGAAAAAAAAGAGTCAGAGAAACTTTAGAGCTGGGGACAAAATGGACTAAAATGCAACACAGTCCATAGTCAATTCCTCACTATGTAGGTTAGGACGGCCTTGAGCTCCTGATCTTCCAGAATCCACCTCTGGAGTGCTGAGATTACAGGTGTGTGCCACCACACCTGGTTTTAGGTGGTGCTGGGGATGAAACCCAGGGCTTCCCCACAACAAGCAAGCACTCAACCAAATGACTGGCATTTCTAAATTTCCTTTCAGCATCAATGCCTTTCCCTGAGTCCGACCCACATAATAAATATAGAGGGGAGCTATATGGAACTGAAGATTTCCATATGAATTACAATGTATCAGTATTACTTCCTATTGCTTTAGAAAACATTAACAGTAAGAGTTAATCAACACAATGATGATCAGATAAAAACAATGTTGTTTTATCTTTGTTTTTTTCCTTTATTTTTGACATATTTATACTGCTTAAGCTTATTATAGAGTACCTAAACAGGCAAATAAAAACAATTGTAAACTCCAAGTACTAGCTCTACTATCAATATTTAAGACAAAAACTACCAGGCATGATGGCTCATATTATCATCTCAGCACTCGGTAGGCTGAGGCAAGAGGGCCACTGCAAATCCAAGGTAAGCCTGACTCTAGCCTGAGCTGTATCTAGACTGCCTGGACTACAAAGTGGATCCAGTCTCAAAAAAATAAATCAAGGGCCAGCAAGATGGCTCAGTAGGTAAAAGCACTTGCTGTCAAGCCTGACTAACTTGAGTTCAATGTCCAGGACTCACATGGTGGAGACAACCAACTCCTGCAAGCTGTCTTCTGACCTCCATTTGCATGTCATGCTGTTCACACGCATAAAAATGCCATTAAAAAGAAAAAAAAAACAGAAAAACAAAACATTTTTTCAAAAAAAAAACCCCACACAAATAATTTAGCTCATACTGGTTTATTTCAGTAACTACAAATTTATTTTTTAAAAATTCTACTAAATGGGTTAAAATTATTTCTTTTAATTAAAAAAATTTTTTTTAGCACAACTGGAAGGATTTCGAGTAGAGGTCAGAGGACTACTATGTGGTTCTCTCATTCCACCTTTACAAGGGTCCCTGGGATCAAACTCAGGTTGCCAGGCTTGCATGGTGAGCATATTAACTGGCTGAGCCATTTCGCTGGCCCTTTAAATTATTTCTTACTAATGAAGGATGCTAACAAAACAATCCTCTTAATATTTCATTTCAGGAGTATCAGTTTGTATCATTATACTTACAATTTTCTGTAATAGGAAGCATTGGCAACTTTGGCTGAAGAGTTGTATAAAACATCAGAAACCAAATATAATCTGGCAATCTATAATATAAAATGGGTCAAAAATGAAAACATTAGCCAATAGTATACCTGGAAAAAAATCTGTTTACTCATTCCTTGAATCAGTTAACAGAAGGCTAATATTTAGATATAATTTAACAATCACAACTAATTACTAGTTATATGAAATCTAGTACCACTACAACCATGATTTTAACAGGAATAAAACCTATTAATTCATTTACATTTTAAATGTTGATAACTTGTATACCAATAACTATGACAAGTTTCACAAGTAGAAGGAAAGTAAGACTGTATAGGAAAGATTTCATCAGTCAAGTTCTTCATGCGAAAAAAAAACCAAAAAAAAGCTAATTCTAGCGGGACAGTGATCGAGCCTGCTAACTCTAATTTTAAAAAGTCAACTATTATCTCCCCATACCTTTTTGGGAAGAGGAGTCTTTAGGATAGACAATGACTCAGTAATGCAATCCACTATTTCTTCAGCAGCTTCAGCATTATTAAGACAGAAAACCATGGCATCGCCAATATCATTTTTTCTTGGAGTTAATCCTCGCAAGATTTCTTCTAATTTGTCCCTCTGTCTGAATATAAAATGTCCACTTATAAATATTTAAACATAAAATTCCAAATGCCATAATAGCTTAGTACTTACCATGTTTACCTCACAAAAACTAATTTAAGACCTACTCAAATAATTTAAAACTGAATTTTGTTCAGTTCCTCAAAAATTTTTTGATTTTTATTTATTTTTCTTTTTTATGTGTATGAGTATTCTGTCTGCTTGTGTATAAGTGCACCCATGTTGTGCAGTGCCTGAGGACAGAAGAGGACATTGGAACTGGAGTTATGGATCACTGTTACCTGCATGTGGGTGCGGGGATTAGACTTCTGTAAGAACAGCCAGTGCTCTTAACCACTGAGTGATCTCTCCAGTCCCCAAATTTGTTATTTTTAAGAGTTTATATAGAGAATACTTTTTTTGAAACCGACAAAGGATTGTAGCAATTTTTTAAATTTAAAAAGTAAATTTGAAATTATGGACATTTTTTAAGTTCCACAAGTATCCCACACCTATTATCCTATTACACTGAAAAAGAACTTCAATTTCTTTATTCTCTTTTGAAAGTAAGTATTATGTTAACACTTTCATAAGGAATTAGGTAGCACAAGCTTTTTCTGAAAAGGACAAAATCGTAAATATTTTAAGTCCTGTAGATCACATGGTCACACACAGTTACTCTATTGCTATAATACCAAGACAGCCCTAAACAACATGTCAAGCAGCAAGCACAGTTGCGTTTCAATAAAACTTTATTTACAGGGCCAGTAAGATATCACCGCAAGTAAAGGTGCTTGTCACCTAGCCTGGCAACCTCAGTTTGATCCCTGGGACCCACATGGTAAAAGGAAAGAACAGCCTCCAGCCTCCTGCAAGTTGTAATGACTTCCACAAGCATGCTTGGCCAACACATGCAGCACTCCCCCCCCAAAATACACTCAACAACTATAAGACTCTATTAGTGGGCTGGAGAGATGGTTCAGCAGTTAAGAGCACTGGCTGCTCTTCCAGAGGACCTGGGTTCAAATCCCAGGACCCACATGGAGGCTAATGACCGTGCATAACTCCAGTTCCAGGGGATCTGATGCCCCTATCTGTCCTCTGTGGGCACTGCCATGTATGCAGGCAATACATTCATACACATTAAAAAATAAAAATAAATAAAAAATAAAACAAGACTTTATTAGCAAACACTTTCACAATGTGCTGAGGTAGCATTAAGTCTTATACACGATGCAATTAAGTATATAATAATATATGCTACAAATTCTTTTAGCCAATTTTTTCATGAGGTATAGAGAACCTCTAAACACTTAACTAAATATATTTCTGTTTTTAAATGTGACTAATGCACTATACTAGTGCTGAGTGAGTGCTATACTAATGTTTTCATAGGTGCCATCTCATAGCCCACCACATACACAAACTCTATGGAAAGACTTCGCATAATCAACATCTGACTTCACTAGCTGCACAGTAATTTCCCCTCTTTTACACTGCATTTAAGTAAGGTTTCTAACAGTCTTTCGATAATTTCTGTAAGAATCTGAAATATTGCAATGCTAAAGAAAAAATTTACAATACTTAATATTACATCAGCCGAGCGTGGTGGCGCACACCTTCAACTAAGTTTAAGAGATGATCGCTGATTTTTTCGAGATCAAAATCAATAGAATACTTACTTGTATTTACCAAGATGCCTAAAACTATATAAAACATATGATAAACTTATCACTTTTAAACATTCACAAGTGAAAACACCATTTTATCTTACTGTCAAAAAGTCACAGCAAGACAGCTAATGAAGGCAACCATCAAAGCAACCTTTCTGCACACGTAACAGAGAGAAGACACTCTTACTCTTCCTTGAGAGCGCCCTTTTTACTAGGCTCCTCTACAAAAGCTTCTGTTTCTTGCTCTTCTGACATTCCATGTAGGTAGGGATTTAATGGTGGGGGCCTCCAAAATGATCCATTTTTGAACATACGAAAATCTTCTGTCCGCCATTTAGTTGGAGAATCTCCCTAATAAATGTGCAAAAAAGTCATTAAAACGGTCTAAAACTCAGAGTTTAAATTAACAAAGTAATTACTTCTACTTGCCTGCAGAATAGAATAAAGTTTCCACCTGTAGTAAACATGGGCTGGTGTCTGGTTTTCAAATAAGAACCTAAACAAAACAAACAAAAACATTCAACATTACATTCCCGAAGAGACAGCTCCCTACTTTTGTGACACTGTTACCAAGGCTGGCTGCTTGTAAACTAATTTAAAATCTTAAGATAAAAAAAGAGCTATCTTCAATTACATATTAACAAATGAGAAATACTACTTGCCTATTTAGTTCTAAAGAATACCAAAAGCAAAGATCCCTGGGGAAAAAAAAAAAATCCTCTTACCCCAGAGCACCTTAGTAACCAACATGAATACTCAGGTGTGCACTTTACTGAGTCTTTGGATTATCTGAATTTAACAGATCAGAAACTCTACTAGACCATGGAGAGATTTTCTCAACACGTGATTACAAAAGCAGTGATTTACAATACTTAAAAGAATATTACATCAGCTGGGTGTGGTGGCTCACGCCTTTAATCCCAGCATTCTGGAGGCAGAGGCAGGTGGATCTCTGTAAGTTCAAGGGGAGACCCTGTCTCAAAAAGGCGAAAAAAAAAAAAAAAGAGTATTATATCAATGTCTCTCAGTTTTCAAACTCATTTCCACAATTCCATCTCACTTATGACTGATGAAAAGCATAACAAAACTTATTTTCCTCCTAGACAATGCTAACTAAATCAATTTGTGGTAAAGAAATGACCCAAGCACATTCTAGACCAAGACTCACTTCTTTCTGCAAAATTCCTTTTATGACTTTAGAATTTTATTCTTGGAAATATATGTGTGCTTAAACATGTACTGTGTGTATGTGTGTGCCCATGTGTGCACATGCTCATGCATGCCAGTCAACATATGTGTCAGAGGACAACTTCTACCATGTAGGTTCCAGAGAATCAACTCAAGTTCTCAGCTTGGCAACAACCCACCAAGGCATATTGCCAGGCCCCTCTTAGAAATATTTTTAACTACCAAAAAATGAGCTAAAAAGCAGTTTTAAAATATATACTTAAGGACAAAGTACAGAATAGTTATACACTGGAATATTATTCAGCCTAAAAAAAAATACGGTAACCCATGCCTGTAAATTCCAGCACTTGAGTGAGACTATCTCACTCTTCTCCTTAGGCCTCCCCAACCTTCCAGTGAAAGTAATTTTAGTGTATAACTACACTATGGATGGATCCTGAAGAAAAAAGTGAAATAAGCCAGTCCCAGAGGACAAAACTCTCAAGAAATAACCTAGAATAACCAAACTCACAGAAATACAAAGAAGGTAGGGGCTTAAAGAAAAGGGAAATGGAGAGTTACTCTTTAATGGGAATAGGATTTAGTTCTGGAAGGTGAAAACATATCTGGTGAATGGTGGTAATGACTGTACAATAATGTGAAGGCATTCAAGTACACTTAAAAACAGTTAATGCTAAATTTTGTGTTATAGGTTTATTACCAGAATCTCTAAAAAAGCATACCTGAACATAGGATTGTTAATTTCTCTGTTCATAATCATAGCTTCAAACATCGGCCCTTCACGTACAACAAACTCTATCATTCGGTGTATCAGGGCGAGTAAATTCCTATAACAATAACACAGTTAAAGAAAATGGATTCAGACCCACCACTATATCAAACTACACTTGACCTAAGTTACTATAATGGTGCAGAAAAAAAAAAAAAAATCATTCTGCTGACTAACATGGAATTTAATACCAAAAAAGTAACCTGGAGCATATATTAAGGCCTTGTGCATTAAGAAGGAGTGGGGCAGTGAGGGTGAAGGAGTGGGAAGGAAGGAGAGGGGAAGGGAGGTGGGGAGCCACAAGATAGTCTCATATAATACATTTAATTTCCTAGTTGCCACTTAATGTTATTTTCAAAATACAGAGTAGTAAATTATAAATCACAGCTAATCAGAAAGCTGCAAATATATAAAATCAGCAACTTAAAATTTGTATTTTACAGCCATCTAAAAATATATTCACTAACTCAGCTTTAAAAGAAAATATTCCTAATCCAAGCATTTTCATAATGATACTGTAATGTTATAACCATGACTATAATTTACAAAAATGCAAAACTTATTAACAAATTTTAAGACCTGATTTAATAAAAGATCCATCTAAATTCCTGTTTTCCTAGCATATACACACCAGATGGAGTTTTTATTAAATCTGACCTTTAATGAGGCAACATCCCTTTGAAGCATACTTCAAACTAGTTCAGAATTCATGATATGTATAATTCTGCCTGTATATTATCAATGAAGAAATTACATTGCCAAAGCCATATGCACACAGAATCCTACACTTTCCAAAATAGGGGACATGGTGAGGTACCCATTTTCTCTAATGGTCATCTTCCAATATTTAAGCCCAAAATATTTAAGACATGACTAATGATTCACTATAGTCACTTTATAGGTTGGATTCATAAGAAATCTTTCTTTTTTAAAATCTGGAACTAAAATCTCCAAAGACTCCAAACATAATTTCAGACATTGATTATGGTGTCAGACAAAAATGACTCAAGTTTCCTTATTTATAAGCTGCTCTTGAATTCTTTCACCAGTCCCCCAGTAGTACAAAGTTGGCAAGTAATGACTGGAAAAAGCAAAAGGATATTGGCTCTTGGTATAAGACACACTAAATTATATCCTTAGTAGTCTCTCCTCAAACTAAGTCCATATAACTGCTAGCACATATATATAGAAGACAAGATTTTTTTTTTTTACTTTATAATACTTTGCTTCAAAGTACCTGAACAGTAAAATAATCTCTTCTTGACTATACTTTCTTAGTTTTCAAACAAGCCTACTTAAACAGATACTATTATTTCTACATAGTAGAAAAAATTAATTCTAAAGATCAAAAAAAAATTTGGAGATTTAAATCTTTACAAAGGGGAACCTATACATTTAAAACTATCAATCTTAAATTATTAGAACAAATCACTTAATTTTAAATGAAAAATTATTTTTCCTTCACAAAAATATTAATTGCTTTGTAAATACACAGTACTTGATACCCAATGAGAATGAGCTCTTGGCTTCCATGTAGCTACTGACATTATTTTGAAGGGCGATAATGCAGTTATTCAGTTCCAAAATTCCCATGGTTTGAGCCAAATTAAAACTAAGGGAAATCTTATGTGCTTATCATGATACATATGACCATTTACTAGGGAGATAAATGTTATATATGCAGAAATTTAATCAAGTAAAAAGCAACTTGACTTAAGTTATTTAAGATAGATGAAAAAAATGGTTTATCAAGTTTAAAATTAAAGGATTCATTCTAATGATGAGTCAAAAACTCTTTCAGCAAAATATATACACAAAATTTTGTTTAGAAATAAGCTGAGTGATATGTAAAGCTACTGCTGGACATGTTTTTTAATGTTACAAAAATTACTTTTACTGTGAATGTTTTATCAGTGGAAAAATAACCCACTATAGTTTTAAACAGGCTTGTAACTGATAAAATCTATATTTTATAAAATCACAAGTTTATTACTTAAAATCAAAATCTGACAATTAGTTGCTGCTAACTTGAATTCAAGGTCAAAGAATTTTTGTAATCATACTCTTCCCTTAAGGATTATGTAATTTTCTTATTTAAAAATGGCTTTTCAGAATAAAACAGTGTAGTACAAAAATGTTATATTTAAAAGTGCATTATTTTATTTTAAAGCAGTAATTATCTTATTCTGGGCAATCACAACAAAAAAAATGTCTCTCAGTTATAATAAACCACAGTTATTGGAGTCGATCGTACCAATGTCTGGTCAAAAACTGTATACTTTCCCAATCCATCCCATGATGTTTTTCTGGTCCCCCGCTGCCGCAGACAGTTCAGCTGGTGTTGCTCACCAAGGCCAATGTCAAAGAGAATTTGGTATTCTTTTGTGTTCATTTATTATTCAACCAGTGTTGTGTTCCTGTGTTTGGGAAAAGGCTTAGCTTGACTGAGCAAGAGCAAACCTATAGCACGAACTGTTCTTCATTAACAGTATACTTAAAAATAAAAAAAAAAAGGAAGAAAGAAAAATAAAGAGATCCAAATGCCTTTGTTACTATGAATAAAAAGTTTCTAATATGTCCATTGTCCATTGTAAACACTTGGAAATTCTTCTTAAAATCAATTAGAAAAAAAAAAAAACTACATCCAGTATTATCTAAAACCAATGTTGTATATTAAATGTATATTAAATTCAGAAACCAAGAGAAAGGAATATATTGTAACACCTAAAATTTAAGACACATTTTATTTAAAACACCTATTTTTCTCTCACAATAGTTTAACATTATTAGACCAACAACTTCACATTAATCTATTTAACATATTCTAACTTCTAAAGCTAAAAAACCTCTCTCTAACAATAAAAACAAAAAATTGGGCATAAAATCGCAAAGTATACTAATTTAAATTTTAAATATCCCCCCTAAAAAGTACTGGGAAGGAACCATTGCTCAGTCAAGATAGTACCTTTTCCTCAACACCATTTTTTTTTTTCAATTCAGAAGGGGATATTGTCTATATTTAGATCAGTAATAATAAAGAAAAACATGTACCTTTCTGTTGGGATAACCACTTTGACTATGGCTTGCGACAGAGTCTGTATATGAAGTCACATCAGATAATAAACATAGAATATGTGAGTATTGTTAACAAGTAACAAGCAAAAATATACATATGCATTGAAAATACTACACATCTAATCACAAGTTTTGCAGGCAATCACTGCATTTGAAGTAATTATACACTAAGCAATTACATAAATGCAAATGGATGTGTTCAGTGAACAATTAATGTTCACCAAAAGCAAAGACTCAGAACATTCCTGTCAGAATGCACATCAATGCACTGAAATCGGTACTACACTGAGAATTATCAGATAAAGATTTTAATTTGTGAAGTAATTAACTGTTTGCTTCCGACCATACAGTTTGCTACTTTGTTCCCAAGCCTTTAAAACCAGCCCTGTCATTTTAAGTGTAATTAACTCATAACAGAACCAACAAATTCTTATAACTTGAAATTAAGTTGGTTTTATGTTTACTAAAGAAAAATACTCACCCTTTGCTTTTACTAGATTAACTATTTTTAAAATACCATATATGCTGTCAAATAGTCCAATACCTCAAGACCTTGAAAACTAAGCTTGCTGCCATCCCAACAATTTAACTATTTAGGTGGTCTAATTGAAAAGTCACTTAGCCAAATAAAAACTGTCACTTTCTCAGAACAAAGTAAATTCAGATACTGAACTTAAGCAAACCGGGATACAACACTGGATAAAGGGGGAGAAAGCTTAGCAAGTGGTCAAGAATGGTAGCCACAAATAAAATATGACCTACTAGTTCAATACAGGATTTCCATGGGCTAAGGCAGGGAACACATCTATTTATTTAAGAGTTGCCAAACAAAGTAACACACATTTCTATAAAATTGAAAAACACTATCACAAATTTAGTATTTACAAATTAGATGCAGCCTTATGTACACTTTTAAAATTACCTTCTCAAAGTCCTCCTTGTTTTTAGGTGGTGGTAACATGGGAGCATTGGGGTTTTTTAATCGCTCTCTAGGCTGAGCATTAAAAGGCAGTCCGGACGGAGGAGGGGGAAGCGTATGTTCCATCATAGAAGGCGGAATGTATATTGGATGTGGAGGAATAGGTACAGCTTTACCCCAACCTAACTTCATTTCAAACGACATTATCATTTTTCCTAAAAAGAAAGAAAAATGAGAAAGTTATTTTTGCAAACCTTAGAAGAAAAGTATTCCTGGTGACTTGAATTAAATTTTCTTTGTAGCCTTTCCAATTTTATCTAAACTCTCACTAGAGTTTTTATAAATAATTTGGGTACCCAAGCTTGAATCTTTAGACGTTGAGTATAACCCAAAGCAACAGCAGAAGCCAGGAAAGGAGAAAGGGATCATGGGGGAAGAAGGAGTTCTACAAGAGGTTGGTAGGACACAGGTGCTATAAAGAGGGAAATGGGAAGGATGAGGCTTACAAGGGCACATCACTTTACCAAGGAGGAAGAGTAAAACAGGAAGAAGGAGAAAGGAGAGATTAATAATAGGATGTCTAGAAAAGTCATAGTCATGTGATATATATATTTTATAAGCTTACTATATATATAAAAAATCAGTTTTCTCCAGGGACAAGTCCCCCTGATAGGTTATCCAATCCTGTGATCAGCCTTAAACGTGTACTTATGAGCACCACTGAATGAACTCAGCAGGATATGTGTGGGTACATATAAATATATTTATATATATAAAACCATAATAAAAGCGGTCATGAAACTGAGAGGGAATGGGGGGTAAGAGTTGAAGGGGCTCCAGAGGGGAAAGAGAGGGGTGAAATGATGTAAATATTGTAGCCATATATGAAATTCTCAAAAAATAAAAAACTAAAAATAATTAAAATTTCCAAACCAAAGAACTGTCTAACTAGAATCTAGAAATGAATGAGAACCTTACCATTTAAATTTTTTAAAGCTCTTTCAGCATCTCTTCTATTCATAAAGGCCACAAAGCCACAATTTCTTTCTCTTGCTCTTTCTTCGTCAGTTCTAGGCCACATAATTTTTACACTAGCTAATGGTCCAAATCTTCCAAATTCTTGGCACAGCATTTCTTCATTCATCTATTGATGAAGGGGGAAAAAAAAAAGAAACCACAAAAAATTCTATGTATACAGAAAGCGAAGTTATTTTTACAAAATGAAAAGCAACATTTTAATGCTATAATATCATATTCAAGTATTAGGAATTCTGCATACATACAAACCCTGCCCTCCTAAGCAGTTCACAATATTTTCATATAAGGAAAATTCTATTTAAATAAGCTGCTAGGGTTCCAAGTCTACAGAGCTGCAGAAACCAAAGGCATATTTTAAATTCTCTTCTTCCCATTTTAAGATCCTAGAATCTAAAACTTTGTTTGACAGTAGTAGTTTGTGAATTCAACAGCATTTCAAGCAACATTTAAGTTAAAGAGTATATTTGGTGGTGATGAAAACAAAGCTCCGTCACTTCTCTTTCCAGCACCCATCTACCAGTGTAAAATAGAATAGAAAATAGTAAACAGACAATAGGTCAAAAGCCTAATATTTTAAACAGAAAACGTTTGTAACCTCCAAATGCCCTAAATACATAATAACAATAGTGAAGCCAGGAGAAGAATTTTAAAAAGCCAGTATAGTGGCACAGGCTGCAATTCCAGCACAGGAGAAGTGAGGCAGGAGGATATCAAGTTCTAGGCTAGCCTGGGCTACTTAGCAAGACCCTGTTTCAAAAAACAAGAAAACAATTTTAAATAAGGCAAAAGCACAAATACTAGTTTACTGTTATGAAGAGAATAAAGAAAAGGGAACTAGGGAACTCAAAAGGAAGGAAACTCCTCATCAGAAAGAGTTGCTCTCAAGAGTACTGCCCCTCACTGATTTGCTAAAAATAAATAATAGAACTGGCACCTAGTGAAAGATTTCAGAATACAGTCCAGTTACTATAAAGGGAGCCAAGTCTTCAAGAATGTGTAGCAAAACAGGGCTAGAGATGGCTCAGCAGTTAAGCACTGGCTGCTATTACAGAGGACCAGGGTTGATTCCTAGCACCCACATGATGGCTAATAACTGTCCGTAACTCCAGTTTCAGGGACTCCGATGCCCTTTTCTGACCTGTGGGCATTGTACAACAGGGGTGCACCTACCTACATGTAGGCAATACACTCATACACATAAAATAAAAATTTATACACGGGAAAGCCTCACCAATAAAATGAACAAAATGGAAAACAGAATACCAACACTGGATGATAAAGTTGAAGAACTGGACTACTCAAGCAAAGATTATGGAAAATTTAAAAAAACACAGGGGGGCTAGAGAGATGGCTCAGTGGTTAAGAACACTGGCTGTTCTTGCAGAAGACATGGGTTCAAATTCCAGCACCCACACAGCAGCTAACAACCGTCCCCATTAACTCCAGTTCCAGGGGATCCGACACCCTCTTCTGCCCTCCATGAACGTTGCATGACAGGGGTGCACCTACCTACATGTAGGCAATACACTCATACACATAAAATAAAAATTTATACACTAAAAAAAAGGAATGTGTGTAGTAAAACAATTTGGGTCCTACCAGTAAGCTCCAAGTTCCAAGTTTATGAGACAATTACTAAATGCTGTCAAATTCCTTCAGATTTGCCAACTTCAGAATCTTGACTTTATTTTTTAAATTGTCTAACAAAGCAGCCTTTCATTCAAAAAAGTAAAACATAAAGGTCAGTACTTATTTTATTTTACTAACATTACCTGTGGGTTAATGTTTCCAAGGTATAAATTAGTAGTACTTGGATCACCTACATCATGTGAGCCAGGTGCATAATCATCAAGAACTACAAGGAGAAAAAAAAAATTATAACCTGCAAAATACAAAGTGGACAATTTCTATTAATTAAAAAAGCAAAAAACTGTATTACCACCAGATGATCTATTTCTTCTTGAAGGCACGTCCACTTAAAGAGAAAAAAAGAGAAGAACTCTTAATTTTTAGAATTATTCATCATAAATATGCACATTAAAGTAAATGTCACTTACTAGAACGACGCTGCCCATCAGAATCTGACTGAGGAGGCTCAAATCGACTTAATCTGCCCTTTGTTTTATGTCTCTCATCACGTTCTTCTTGAATTCTGTTGAGAAATTTTATTATCAAGAGTAAGCCACTCACATTTAATAACAGAGCTTATTTTACTTATCAACTTTAAGTCACTTGATATATTTGTAATTACCAGTAATGATAACCAAGATTAGGGAGTTCCTCAACTACATGAGAGGAATGGGCAAATTTCTATTAATCTCCCATGGAAAACAATGCCCTTTTTGGGGTGACAAGAAATTGGATATTAAACTACTGCCTGCATTTGTTGTTTCTTATTAGGTTTGATGACATCTCAACTCCTACCCTGGTGAGCATATTGTATTCCAGCCAAGAAATAAATCAACTGAATTAAATCTCTATGTTGCAAGCAAACAACATAAGACAATGATTGAATGACTGCTCACTTTCAAACATACTCTATCATCTGTATCTACAACAAGCTCATCGCAAGCTAGCTAACAATAACTAGCATGCATACCAGTATCTGTAAGTATCAGTTCAATATATCTATGATAGTTAGTTCTCCATAGAAAACTTACTGTTTTAATTCTTCTTTGAAGAGTTCCAAATTGCTTTTTTTCTTTTCTTTCTCCCCCTTCTTCAGTGGCTATGAAAATCAAGACAAGTTATAGTTGAAACAAAAAAGATTAAATGAAATTATTGATTTATTTTGGGGTGATAAAAATGTTTTAAAACTGCAGAACTGCAATTTTTGAACAACTGGCAATACGCTTAAAAAACCCACCTAATTATATACATTTGGGGTGAATTTTTGTGCTATGTAAATTACACCTCAACAAACCTATTTTTAAAGTGCTTTCAGAGATCTCCTAAAAGCCACAAGAAAACTTAGTCTCAGTATTCAAATGTAATCACACTTATTCACCGTATGTGGCTCCAAGTCTGATTCCACATTTATAAATCTACTGTGTCCTGTGAAAATCCTTTTATTTTTGGTCTTTTTGAGACAGGGTCTCCCTATGTCAACCAAGCTGACCTTGAATTCGCAGAGATCCACCTGCCTCTGCATCCTGAGTGCTGGGATTAAAGATTGCACCACCACACCCAGCCCAAAAATCCTACTTCTAAAAGAGTAAAAAATTCCTTAACCATCAAAAACATTTAAAAGAGTGACATTAGCTCTGACAGTAATTTCTTAAAAGCTCCTAAACCATGCTGAGAAACACATAGTACATGTTGTTAATAATTTTAATATCTTGGTTCAAAAATGTTTAGAATAGACAATCATATTATCTTACATTTGCAACCAAAGTATAGGCAACTTCTGACTTGCAATATACATAATATGAATACCGTAAGAAATGTTCAAAAATATTATCAACTGCATGCCCTTATCTATTACTTCTCATCTACATGAATTACTGAGTCAGATAACAGCAAAACTCAACACCTACCCCAAAACTTATAAAACCATAAAAATTTCCTTACAGGGGATGTACTCAAAAGTATCATTGGCAGTATCATCTTTGGCAGACAGTAAATGTTCAATTATTTAATAATGTCTTACAGGTTTTTTCGTTTCTATCACAAGAAGAGATGGCGGTCTTTCATTGGATGACTGATTTGGAGGGTTTTTCTGATCTGCAAATCTTGAAGATGGCTTATAGATTTTACCTCGTTTTTCATCTGTTTCATGTTCATCTGAAATATAAATGTTGTTGTAAAACTGACTTTAAATCATGTGGCTTCACTGTTTTTATTTAAATAAAAATTATTAAGAAGCTTTAATATTAAAATGTTATTGTGCATATGAAATTACATTCAAATACTATCCTACCCTGAAAAAAAAAAATCACAATTTAATCACTTTAAAGCAAAACTATGAAATACACTAAAATTTCTATAACATACTGTTTCAAAACTTAAAAGATATTTTTTAATAGTGCCTTCATCACTCCACAGTAATCACATTTAGTATCTCATTAATCTGTATTTGGCCATTTGTTTTGCTAATTAGTTTAACCACCAGAGGGTGCTGATAGAAAAGAAATGTGAAATTCAAAGTGGAACTATTTCCATAATTAACCTATAAGTCACCCAACCATTTGACTCGGGATCTGTTCAAGAACGGTAATACTGGACTTACCTTTAGCTGCATTAACAACCCCTCCTCGAACAAATGTTTTCACCTTATTACCATCACTTCCTTCAAAAGCAGCAAGAAATTCCTCATAAATTTCAGCAGCAGCCTTTTCATCCTCCTAAATATGTAACAAAAGATTAGTAACAGAAAAATTATTTTGTTTGTTTGGGTTTTATTTTGTGACAGAATCTCACCATGTGTCCCTGGCTGGCCTGGAACTCAAGAGATCTGCCTGCCTCTGCCTCCAGAGTGCTGGGATCAAGGGCGTGCACCAGCACCCCAGCTTAACAACTACTTTGGCAGAGTTATGTTCATAAGAAATAACGTAGATGAAGCTGGCATGGTGGCATATGCCTTCAACTGCAGCACCTGGGAGGCAGAGGCAGGAAGGTATCTATGAGATCAAGGCCAGCCTGGTATACAGTGAGGTCCAGCCAGGCCAGGGAGAGCCCATCTTATAAAACAAAAATTAAATAATGTAGATGAAAGGTTTCCCTTCACAATTCTAATAACATCGAGTCCTTGGCCACCATGCCTGGTTTAAAAATTACTTAACAGAGTAAATTCATTAAGAAACAATGTAGATGAAATCTCTTCCTTCCCAAGTTAAGTAATTTTAATACCCAATCCTTGGTAGATATTAGATACTAATTAATAGTGAAGCTAAAAGAGGCTTTGCTCATTTACTGGAAATTTATAGAAACAGAACTCGCCACATATAGGTTAACAAATATTTATTTAAAGAAAATTTGAGGACCAAACTGTAAGTCAACTTGAGTATGAAAGTGTATTATCCTATTACTATTGAATAAGTTTTCCAAGGCATGATAACTTAAATTCATCAAATATAAAGATTCTGTTTGCAAATCACTGAATATATAATAAAAATGAAGCTACAGTATGTACTCTTGACATGGCATTAAAAAAATAATAATCACAGAAGAACCTTAACATTTTCAGTTACAGACCATCTAAATGTCTCCAAAGTATTTATGAAGAACACCAAGCCAAAGCCAGGCATGGTGGCACAGACCTTTAATCCCAGCACTCAGGTGGCAAAGGCAGGCAGATCTATGAGTTCCAGTTCAGTCTGGTCTGTGAGCTCCAGTTCAGCCGGAGCTACACAGTGAAACCTTGTCTTGTCCCAAAAAAAAGAAAAAGAAAAAAAGGCAAGAATGGCTAGCCACACCTATAATTCCAGCACTTTGGGGATAGAAGTAGGAGGACAGAGAGTTCCAGGCCAGGCTGAGCTACATAAAGACTCTGCCTCAAAAACAAAATCATAGAACAAATAAGAAATACAGTCAATAGCATGTAGCAATTTACTATTCAATAAAAGGAGTAAGTATCCCAATAAAGGGATTCAATATACCAATAAAAGGAGTATCTCCAATCAGTGGCAAAACATGGACTTTTTAATAAGCGATACAGGGATAATGGATACTCACTCATTTGGAAAAAGATGAACATAATCAATTCTTTTTACCAAGAAAACTACATAAATAATATTTGATTTTCTTAACAATGAAACCAGGCAAGTACTGTTAAGAAAATTTAGGGAAAATAAATAAATAACCAACCACAGAATTCCTAAGGAAAGACTGACAAATCTGATTATTTAACAAGAGTTTTTAAAAGGAAGAATAAAATCAGAAGGAAACTAAAAAGAAAACAAGAAAATAAGAGAGAGGGGGGACACCGCACAACTTTACTCCTAACGAAAGAACTGCTATTTGAGCAGGGTGATAGCTCCAGTACTTGGAGGCAGAGGCAGGTGGATCTCTGTGAGATCAAGGCCAGCCTGATCTACATAGCAAGTTCCAGGCCAGCTGGGGCTTCAGGGAGACACTGCCTCATAAAGACAAGAAAACAAACCAAACAAAAAGAATTGTGAATTTAAAACCACACTGAGATCCTATTTTCCACACAGCAGACTGGCAGGAACTCCTGCAGCGAATTCCTCCACTTGCAGTGTATGCAAAAACCGGAAATCATCCATACCAACAGGAAACACAATGTCTCTGCCCTAAGAGAGCAGCTGGACAATGACAAACACAGTAAAACTACTTTTAGTCACTATGGTTCAACCCAATAATCTCACTTCTCATTTCTAGGAATATATCCTAAAGACATTAAAAAAAAAAAAAAAAAGGCACCTATGTATAGCAGTATCCACAATATCATTATTTGTTACATAATGGCAAGACCAAAACCACAAATACTCGGGGCTGGAGAGATGGCTCAGTGGTTAAGAGCACTGGCTGCTCTTTCAGAAACCCAGGTTCAGTTCCCAGCACCCAAACAGTGGCTAGCAACCATCTGTAACTCCAGTTCCAGGGGATCCAACACCCTCTTCTGTCCTCCAAGGGCACTGCACAACACAGGTGCACATACATACATACAGGCAAATCTATAAAACTATAAAAAGGTAGACTATTTCACCAGGAGTGGTGGCACACAACTTTAATCCCAGCACTCAGGAGGCAGAGGTAGGTGGAGCTCTGTGAGTTTGAGGCCAGCCTGGTCTATATAGCTAGTTCCAGGCCAGCTGGGGCTCCAGGGAGACCCTATCTCAATAAGACAAAAAAAGGGGGGGAGGGGTAAGAATATTTCTATCCTAAAAGTAATACAGCAAGCTATTATTCATCTATACAGTATCGCATACACACACACACACACACACACACACACACACACACACAACTTTTGTAAAAATAAATAAATCAGAAAACTAAAATCATCACATAAAGAGAAGCAGATCAGAGGAAACAAGGGGAGAAGCTGCACTCATTTAAATGTCCCTTGTGTTAAAGACGTGGCTTGTGCATGGGGTTGAGCAACATCATGTGGGTCAGAATCCTTCAGTTGTTTTACTGCTCACATACTTATTGCTTCCATAGACATATTCATGTTTGTCCAAGTATAATCCAAAATACATTTTAAACATTACCTTTTTCTTTAATTCCTCTTGTTCCTTCTTACTCAAAGTTCGCTTTGCTGTGCTCATTTTTCCAATACTGAATGCTTTAAGTTTGTTCTCTAGAAGAGGCTATGAAAAAAATAAAGACTTTTGTTTTTACATACATATTCTTAATGTTATCTATAAATTTAATATACTTTAACTGAGAATCAAATGTATGGAATAGGTAGTTTAATGCTTGGGATTACTCCAAGCATCAGAGACCTGTCTTGGGCTTCATTCTGATGTAAATACCCACTCATTAAAGAAGGCCTTTATTGGCTAGCTCAAAGTCAGTAACAGGCAAAAGCCATTTTAAAAAAGAAAAGAGGAAAAAAATGGGAAAAAGAACAAAGAGATAGATACCAAGGTTTAGAACAAAAATTACAACAAAGGAGACGGAAAAATACAGTTATCTCTAGGCAAAAGCAGCAATTATGAACCTACCGCCTACAACTTCTACATCAGGATTACAAATCGCATCACATTCTTTAATGACTTAAGTCCTTATTTATCAACAGTCCTGATATTAAGAACATAGTTTCATTTTCTTTGCTGGGAATGTATCACCTATATTACTTCTGGTTTCAGCAGAAGTAAAATTGCATTAATTATTTCTTAAAATATTTATTTAGTGGCTAGGCATGGTGGTGCATGCCTTTAATCCCAGTGTTTGGGAGGCAGAAGCAGGTGGATCTCTGTGAGTTCCAGGCCAGCCTGGAGTACATAGTGAGTTCCAGGCCAGCTGGGGCTCCAGGGAGATGCTGTCTCAAAAAAAAAAAAAAGAAAAAATTCATTGTATTTATTTTATGTGTATGAGTGTACTGCCTGCATGTATGTAAGTGTACCAATGTCATTCAATCCCTGCAGAGCTCAGAAGAGGGCACTGAATTCTCCTGGAACTGGAGTTACGGATGGTTGTTAACTGGGAATCGAATCCAGGTTCTCGCAAGAGTAGCCAGTGTTCTTAACCAGTGAGCAATCTCTCCAGTCCTGTATCAGTTATTTTTGAACACACAACCCTAATCTGAAAATTCAAAATCCAAAGTTACAAGTAGAATATTCCATACCTAAATCTCATGAAACAGCTTGTGGTCAAAATGCAGGTACAAAATACCAAATACCTTTGGGTTATATGTATAAGAAATGAATTTCATGTTTAGATGTGGGTCCTCATGTTACATGAAAATATTGCAAACTTCAAAATATGAAAATTAACCATCCAAATCCAAAACACTTCTCATGCCAAGCAATTCAGACAAATGACATTCGACATTTAAGAAAACAGTATTTGGCAGCACTAAGGGGATTCAGTGGGTTTTAAAAAAGAGTACAAGACCTCTGTGTAGGCAAGCTTGAGTCACACCTCCTTCCCATGCTCCAAGAACTCGATGGGGGAGTCAGTTACCCCTCCCACCCAATCAGTCTAGTTGCATGTGGGGGAGGGGCCAAGGATAGATATAAGCCAAGAACACCATAAGGCACCTCTCGCCATTTTGCATGGCTGGCGGGAAGTCACAGGATCTATATTGAGTGTGGATTTTCCAGTGCAGAGGTAAATGGAGAGGCACCAACTTTTGTGTAAATAAACCCCCACCCTATGTTCTGTTAGCAAACCCAATAAACTCATTAAGATTTAAAAAAAAAAAGAAAGCAGAACTAATGGAAACCTTCATTATCCTACCAAAGTTGACCCCATGTTGGTAAGTCCTTTGGTCTTTGATTTCTTATTCCTATATTTCCCCCTTAAACTTCATTGTATATATATTTTTACGTAATCTGCTTCAAGTTATTTCTGGAAAAATGTGTTAAAAATTGCCTCTTCGGAATAAAAATAGTAAAAAAAAATTAAATAAAGGAGTACAAGAAGTTGGGAAGGATAAATGGTGGGTGGTATGGGAAGAGCTGGTATGGGAAGTGGTGCTGTGGATTTGATCAAAACACATTACATATGCATGAAATGCTCCCACAAACTTAAAAAAAAAGAGCATTTATAAAAAAGTTTTTGTTTATTTTATGTATATGGGTAGGGGGACATATGTGCCATGGTCTGTATGTGGAGGTTAAAGGGTAACTTGCAAGAGTTGGTTCTTGCCATCTACCACGTGGGTCCCAAGGATCAAATTCAGATTGGCAAGGTTGGTGGCAAGTGCCTTACCCACTGAGCCACCTCACTGGTCTAAGAAAGCAGTATGTTAAGTCTTCATTTGTGTAACTCACAAGCATGTGCTTTCTGAAATTTGGTTTGAATAACTTGTAGACCTTCAATTGTTTCATCTGCTAGTCATATGATTCATAAGCTAAAAGGTAGGATTATTGATCATTTATTAAATCCAAGCTAAAATATTGAAATCTGAAGGTTTCTCTCCTTCTTACTAAAATGAAAGTTAACAAAAACTCCTAAATTATACTGTCTCAATTCCATTTATTAAGCAGCCTTGCCTCTGGGAGTTGCAGTATGGAAGAGAACATGGATGCCACCTATGTCACAATTGTATTAAAACCTAAAACCCTCTGAGAAATATAGGCAATCATTCAACGCCCTGTCTTTGGAGTCAACACCCTGTGATCATTCAACGTCTTTGGAGTCAGCATCAAAAGTTTAAACAAATGAAAATCACACATAAATTCAATGAAAAACAATTTTAAGAAACAAAACTTGTGCTCCATTTTGATTTATATCCTAATAGCTACATATTGAGGGAAGAAAAGGCAAAGGAAATACTGAGTGCTTACTCAAACAAATAATGTAATTGTCAATAGAAGCTTTGTTTTTGCTGAAATGAATACTAGAACTGGAAACAGGTCATGTTAAGATTCCTTTAAGAATCTATGATAGAAAAATAAAATTATGCTTAGAAAAGTCTGTGATAAATAGTAAAAATTAGCTGATGACTATGTTATTATATTTTCTAAATTTAATCACAAGAAAAATTAAGTTGTACACTTTTTTTTTTTTAACAGTACTAGGGATTGAGCAGAGGGCCTTGTACATGCTAGACAAATACTCTACCACTAACCTATATATCCACCCCAAGAAAAATGTTTGGAAATCTGTACATATATGTGCACATACATACAAACATGAACATACAAAACATATACACAAATGCAGAGAACTTACCTGTTCCTGACTACCTGAAGAATGCACTTAACAAAGTGACCAGTATCTAGCCTTGTTCGCTTTCAGAGTGAGAACATAAGTTCTTAAGAATGCAAGGACTGTGTCTTATTATTTGTTATTTGTTTTGTCTCTCTGTGTGTGTGTGTGTGTGTGTGTGTGTGTGTGTGTGTGTGTGTGTGTGTGTATGTACGTGTACATACATGACTGTATGTGGGTATGCATACCGAGACAAACGTGGAGAACAGAGGACAACTTTGTAAAGTCATTTCCATCCTCTGACCTTACATAGGTTCCAGAGATCCAACTTAAGCGTTTAGGCTTGCACAGCACTTTTATCCACCGAACCATTTCACAAGCCCCAAGCACTGTGTCTCATATGCCTGCATAGTTCTAAAGACTCAATAATAAATCAGGAGGAAAAACAAACCTAACGATATCCATTTTATATTCAAAATGCTAGCTGTTCAAGTAAAATTAAATACTTTAAATGAAACATCTCATGAGCTAAAAAAAATTCCTTTAAATAAACTGGAGTTTATCATAGTAGGGTACTGTTGAAAAGCATAAAATGAAACAAATACAAAACCAAGATATTCCACCACCAAATTCAAAGTCAGAGTAAAATCATTAGCCATCCTTTCTGATCTTTACTAATACTCACTCTTGAGAGATTCTGATGAGGAGAATCACAAAGGCTTTCACGGGCACTTTCATTCCTATAATTATGTTTTCTTGGGCTTTTAGGTCGTGTCCGACTTGGCATATCACTATCTGAGGGTCCAGATGCATCCATCTTTGGATAAAGTTTTAAAAATAATTTCAAAAATTATATACATAGTATTGAAACCTAGAATTAATCCAAGAGCCTACATATTAACAAATTACACTAGTTTATCAAATCCACATTTTTAAATATCACCACTGATTTCACAAGGAAATTCCTTAAGAACAGGGGATGTTTTCAGTGATTCAGATTTGCTGCTGACACCTCAAACTGGCAACATTTGTTACTCCTGAAGTAGTAAATTCTTTCCTTCATTTTCAAGAATGACCAAAGTCAGATTAACAAGTTGTGTCTGACATTCAAGTAAGAATGGTAGTCCACTGAAAAGCAGCAAGCTCAATCTTCAATTCAATCACATAGGTCCTCTTCTTCAAAGCATAATATCACACTGCAGTAAGCAGACCTTCTATGTACTTGTTTCATCACACAGGATACTAAAGACCCAAACATGAGTCAAGTCTTAATAATTTTGACACCTTCAGGAAAAAAGCATTACCTTTCTTATTAGAAGGTCTTGTTCTATACAGCAGGCTAACCTGAAACTCATGATCCCATGATCTTCCTGCTTTATCCTCACAAATGCTGGGATTACAGGCAGGCCCACCCCCACCCTACCCAGGCCCAACTACTGAAAGTTCTTAAGTGAAACTAGCATATTTTTACTGTGCATGGTTGGGAAGAATACAATGTCTACAATATATTTTAGAATCACTTAATTCACACTAATGTGCCAATGGTTTACCTACGAAATGCTTCTGCACTATCAGTGAAAATGTCAACAGTGAGAAAAGCAAAGCATGCTTTGACATTTTTATGAAAGTTTTTTGTCTTTCTGGTGGGGGGAGGGGTGTGTGCATTTGTGTGTGCATGTGAAGTCCATAAGTCGGTGTTGGGTATAACCCCCAGTCACTTTGCACCTTATTTTTTGAGACAAGGTCTCTCACTGAACCTAGAACTCGAGAATTCACATAGACTGGCTAGCCAGAAAGCTCCAGGGATCCATCCACCTGTCTCTACTTCCCCAGAGCTGGGATTAGATATGAAACCCCTAGCCCCCACCTTTTTATATGGGTTCTGGGATCTGAACACAGGTCCTCATGCTTGCATGACAAGCATTTTACCAACCAAGCCATCTCCTCAAGGCCCTATTACAAAAGTTCTGAGTTCACAGACTCCCTAAAGTTCTCAGTGACTGCAGGAGTCTGCAGACCAACTACTATAACTTACTGCGGTACTCAAAATGCCAAGAACCTATTAACAAAAAAGGTACACACCTACCAAGAAAATAAATAATTATACCCTTCTACTGCAGAGCATGATGCCATTAGAAAGAACAGGTCAGTGCTGCCTATTCCAACTGATTTGAGATTTTTTCAATAAATAGGTACAATGTGCAGCAAGAAAAGAACGCATATAATGAAATCTCATAGTAAATATGTAAATATACATTCACGTATACCAGATTTTATAAGCACAAGAAAGAAAATACAAACATTAAGATTCTAACATAGTCTGAGGGAGCTTATATAAACAAAACACAAAAAGGAAGATAAAAATCTTCACTTAACTATTTACCATGTAAATCAAACATACACAGATTTTATACAAAGAGACATTTTAAAGAGAAATGTTCTCTTTATACTTACATGTGCATCTGAAGATCCAGATGAATGAACATCTGATGATCTGGTCTACAAATACCAAAAAAAAAGCCAATCATTTAAAGAACCAGAAAATGTCGTTTTATACTATTTAGTGTTGTAGGGATTTAATCTTCCTTAACTTTCAGTAATTTTTTTTTTTCAGCTAATGAAACTGAACATTGCAATCTCTGACTTACAAAAGGGTTATGATCCAAGGAAAACGTGCAAGTCATTCTCTAAAATTCACAATGCATATTTTTAGACACATGATATATAAAATGCTAATGAAAGACTGGAGACTATAGTTACCTTTTCATAGTACAAACTAAAAATCTGACCGCTATTCTTATAACAATATATATACAAAGGCTTTTCCCAAGTCCCAACACTGCCACAGTGCCGCCAGAGCAGGACTTCTTAGTATACAGTAAAGAAATAGCTCTTCCCTTTTCCTACCACTCAAAGCCACACAAATAATGGATTCTAATAGCAAGAAAATCCACATTATCCTTTACTGCCTAGGAGAAAGCACAACATCTACCTCTGAACTAGTTCAAAAATAGGAAAATATCAACTCTCCAAACAACCACCATTTTCAGCTTGCTTTGTAATGCAGCATGCCACAGGCTATAAACACTTGCACAAAAAACTCAGTCTCCAAATAATGACATTTTCCAACAGAGTCAACTGTTAAAATTATACTACATGGCATCTTTCTGAAATTTTTACTTAGAGACCATATCAACAATATTCAAACTTACTTATGTAGTGCAATTTTATTTAGCAGCTCAAAATCCTACAGGAAAATAAGGAGCAAGGGAATTGCCAAAATAACCCTGAAGTTCACACAGAAGCAGCTTGCAAGAAAGCAGCTTTTAAAAACATTTCTTTAATCTATTGGTACCAGGCTCAAATAGTCATTTCTTTAATCTATTGGTACCAGATTGAAATGGTCATTTCTAGGATTTAAAAATAAAGTCACTGGATACTCTGCCTATTTTCACACAGTTAACTCTTTCCTGACTCCAAGAGATGAAGCTCCTTCTGTAATCTAATCAAGAATATCACTTAGGGCCAGTGAGATAGCCCAGTAGTAAAAGTGCTTGCCACCAGGCCTATTGACCCGAGCCACCAGGCCTGTTGACCCGAGTTCACCCGCTGGGACCCACAGGGTAAAAGAAGAGCACCAAGTCCCACAAGCGTCCTTTGACCTCCACTGGAGAGCAGCGGCATATGCATAGGTGCATGCATACACATACATAAATAAATAAAAATGCTAAAAAATATTTAGAAGAGAATCAAATAACTATTCACCAAATTGGTAAATAATCTCAAAACAAATGTAAGCAGTACAAAAGTTAGCCTTCAATGTAATACAATATGAAGAATTTGTAAATAAAGCAAAAACAGCACAACTTATGAAGAATCAGCTGATTTCAAATGACAGGTGTGAACATATTTACTGCAACCACACTGATATCCTGTTGTAGCTACCCAGCATTCACAACAGAATTTTTTTAGACTTAAGATCAACAGACATGAAAGTTATAGTTTATACCATTCTTTATTTCATTTTATGTGTATGTAGTATACGTGTATGCACACACGTGGGGTGGGGTTGCGCACGTGCATGTGAAGGAGAGCAGAGGACGCATGGTCTCCTCTGTTGCTCTCTGCTTTATTCCCTGAGACAGAGTCTCACTGAACCTGGAGCTCTCCATTTTTTTGGCAAGGCTGGAGGCCAGCAATCCCCAACAATCCTGCTACATCATCACACCACTCCCAGGCACACAAGGTATAGGTGACAAGGCTATGTGCAGCTTTTCACATACGTCCTGGGAATCCAAACTCAGGTCTTCATGTCTGTTGCTCTCTGCTTTATTCCCTGAGACAGAGTCTCACTGAACCTGGAGCTCTCCATTTTTTTGGCAAGGCTGGAGGCCAGCAATCCCCAACAATCCTGCTACATCATCACACCACTCCCAGGCACACAAGGTATAGGTGACAAGCCTATGCGCAGCTTTTCACATACGTCCTGGGAATCCAAACTCAGGTCTTCATGTTGCACAGCATGCATTCTCACCCACTGAGCCATCTTCCTATTTTTTTTAAAAATAGCCAAGTCTGAAAGCTAGTGGGCTAAGGTAAAATACAGCACAAATGTAAACACTATAAAGAACCTGAGCCTCTTCCCCTCCTTACACTAGAACTGAACTGCACTATGTCTTGGCTTGCTTTTTAAAAGTGAAAAATACAAACTAATCATTAAAGGTCTTCTGAAGTCTATCGCACTATTCCTCATGCAAATGGACAGGCTCAAAAGGAAAAATGAAGGGAAAAATTGACAAAGGAGACACATACCATTATCTTAAAGCAGAGACAGTAACAGTATGAATGTAAGGAACCCCCCCACACACATACAAAAAAGTGGAAAAGAAGATTCTGCCGCTGTGTGCTGCTGAGAGAATACGGTTCATCATGCTGGCTGACAATAAAAACCAGTGTTTTTCTTGCCAGTCCCACTTTACTTCAAATTAAAGATACCCCCCCCAAGAATACTCAGCTTCAAAGCCTCTACAGCATCTACAGCACCATGCCTAGTCAGTTCTCCATCTCCTATCTCCTCAGCGTCCTCTTACTCTCCAAAGCATTCACAATTTAACAATCTCTCCCATAAGAAGCACATCAACATCTTTATTATACTGAAACAATTTCCAATTACTGGTTCTCAATCTTGGTCATCTCTAGAACTTCCTTTACCAACCCATAATCAGCTGAGTCAAATCCTGTTCCTCTTACCTTTCTTCTATGGGGACCTTCTTTTCCCTTCTAAAGACATCACTGATGTTCTCTTTATGGGCACATCTCTTACTTAACTGACAATGTAGCTCACACTGAAGCTACCTAAAATAAGATAGAGAGCTCCTGCCTCTAGAAACTAATTTAAAAAAAATTTTTTTACATTTATTTATTTGTAGGTGTGCGTACACACTGTATGCACACCCACGGTGTGGAGATCAGAAGACAGCTTGTGGGAGAGTCCAGGTCTCTCCTTCCACCATGCAGGTGAGAAGTGGGGGGAGGGGTGGTGTTGAACTCTGGTGGTCTGGCTTCTTTACTGACCTTATAAGCCATCTTCCTGGCCCCCTAGAAAGTACCTTAAAGAGAAAAGACAATTGAAGCAATGTGGCTACATACACTGGCAAGCCAATCTTAACAAGGCAGAAAAAGGAAAGTTGTTGGGAAAAGCTTCTAGGAAAAGATGTGAAGAAGGTATTTGAGGCAATCCTTCACACATACCAGCACCATTGCAATGGCTCTAGCCTCTGGACCTCCAAACCTTCAAATTCTTCCTAATCCATATTCTGGAATACTCTGCTAAAGAACTTTCCCACCTGAAATTTCTCATGCCTCTATAGTTTTATTTCCTAGCATTCAAACTGCTCCATAGCCCAAACATATCTTTCCAGTCTTAATTCCATATATCCTCCCATGAAAGTCCACTATGCATTACCTGAACTGGATCATTTATCAATTCATTTCCCAGTAATTTATTTTCTTCACCTTACCACTCTCTTTCTAGCCTTCAAAACTCTGCTCACTGCTCAAAGCAGTCAGTCAAATGCCACTAAGCTCTTGAAGGCTCCCAATCTGTACCCAAGCAGGTGTGATTTCCTTCAGATACTCTGACACTCTGCCTATTGCCTTCTACTACACAGCATGCTCCTGACAAACTAAGTCTTACAGCATGCTCAATATCTAGCAATAATAATAACAAGCTCAAGATCTAGCAAGTAATCTGGTCTCAAGAACCACTGACTTATAATCTAAACAAATACATACCAAAAGTTACACTCTACACTGTCAGCACACTATGGTACCCATTCATTAGTAAGCAGCTGTTCAAGATAAACCAAGGTTTTCACTTAACACACACACTCACACACACACACAAACAATAACAACAACTTTGAGGGCATTAAGACATTCTTTACAATATAGATATTTAATCACACCCAAGACATTATCAATATAGAAAAAGCTTTAAATATATTTAGCTTTCAAAAATATTATTTCAAGATGAGAGTCTAAGTGACAGCATGCATACAGCATGCACAAGGCCCTGGGATCAATTCCCAGCAGCAACAATAAAGTGTATGAGGCAAAGAGTTTTTAAAATTAATGTTTTTTAACATTTTAAAATCCTGTAGCAAATTTTTACTTTTATTTCAAAAATTAGGTTCTTTGTAAAAAAAAAAAAAAGAGCAAAAGAGAGAAAGAAAGAGAGACAGAGAAGTTTTCAACTTGCATACGAAATGATCTCTTCATTTATCTGTCACTAAGGCAACTGGCTATCTTTTCTAAGGTTTTCATTCCAAGGAAAACCATTTCAGAAAAATCCAAGAGAAAACAAAAAGACTTTTAGGAAACAATTGACTCAGTACAATAAGGAATCAACAGTCATATTCTAGCAACAGTACTGCAGGCTCACTTCTAAAACATACTATCAAGAAAGTGGGAGTTCAGGGGCTGGGGATGTAACTCTTGCCCAGTATGTACTAGACTCTGATGTGGTAGCATAAGCCTGTAATCCTAGCATTCAGGAGGTATAGACAGAAGGATCAGAGTTCAAGGTCATCCAAAGCTACATGAAGAATTAAGGGCCAGGTGAGGCAGCCCACACCTTTAATTCCAGAACCCATGAGGACAAAGGCAGGCCATGAGATCTTGAAGAGTTCACAGGGGGGTTTCACGCCAGCCAGGGCCACAGGGTGACACCCTGCCTCAAAAAGAGCAGCCAGCCAAAAAGTGTGTGGGTGGGAGGGGTGGGATATCATACTTCTTATTTCCAATCAAAAACATAACCAATCACCTCCCTATCTCCCACCAAAAACTGAACCATCATATATTTTAAGAGAAAGTTTGGGGGTGGGGGACAAAAGAAAGTTAACAACCATGCCATATTAAAGATTTGGTAACTATGAAGAGCCTAATTTTCAAGGTTTGTGTCCTGTTTGGAGTTTTTCAAACTTAAATTTTCAGATATCACCAAAAAAAAACCAACCAAACAAACAAAAAAAAAAAAAACACTGAAAGTAATAAATGGGGATCTCAAGCCTTATTTTACTCATTTTTACTTCCTTTTTTTTTTTTTGGTCTTTTTGAGACAGGGTATCCTTGTAGCCTCAGCTGACCTGGAACTTGCTATGTAGACCAGGCTGGCCTTGAACTCACAGAGATCTGCCTGCCTCTGCCTCTGCCTCCGGAGTGCTAGGATTTTATTTTTTTTTAAGTGTTATTTTTTGCTAATAAGCAAAGGCAGTAAAATAGCTCCTAAAGCAATTCAGTACTTAGATTCCCAGGGAGTCTGTATAGTATTTCCTGTTTTATTCATTCACTTTTATAACACAACATGTGGTGGTAAGACAAAAAACAGGTACTGGAAAAGATGAGATGGCTCAGCAAATAAAAGCACTTGCTGCCAAGTGGGATGGCCTGAGCTTCAACTCCCAGGACCTATGTGGTGGACAAAAGAGAGAACCAACTGCAGAGAGTTGTCCTTTGACCTCCACCTGCACCCACACATAAATAAATAAAAATGTGAGGGAAAAAAAAAAAAGACATTGCCAGAGTGAAATAACAGGGCACAGAATCCCACTATAGTTGCAATTTTACCAGCATCAGACATACAGAGAAAAGAAAATGTCATTCTCTTTATATCCTTATTTGTCTGAACATGCAAACAAAATAATTAAGGTCAAAATAATACTTTTTTTTTTTCATGTTTTTCAGACAGGGTTTCCTGGAGCCCCAGCTGGCCTGGAACTCACAATGTAGACCAGGCTGGTCCAGATCTTACACAGATCTGCCAGCCTCTACCACCCAAGTGATGGGATTAAAGGCGTGCACCCACACCCAACGAAGTAATAATTTTTATTTTTTATTTTATGTGTATGAGTGTATTGCCTGCATGTAAGTGCACCCATGTCATGCAATGCCTGAAGAAGTCAGAAGAGGGCTAGTTGGATCCCCTGGAACTGGAGTTAGGGACCACCGTCAGCTGCCATGTGGGTGCTGGGAATCAACCCAGATTCTCTGCAAGAGCAGTCAGTGCTCTTAACCACTGAACCATCTCTCCAGTCCCCAAAACAATGATTTTTAATAAACTTTAAAAAAAAATGTTTAACAATGTTTTAAGTTAACAATTATAAGGTTCCGTCTCTCCTCTCAAAAACAAAGCTGCAAGATGGCACTAAAACCCCTCCTAAAATCAAGCAATACTTATAGTCGAATAATAATAAATGCACGGGAGATTTCAAGTTCATTTCTAAAATATCTACTCAATGTCTACCATCTGCTAGGTTTTAAAATGCAAAAGTATAGCGCAATTACACGGAAAGTCAAAAGGCATGTGGGGGGACAAGCCCTCACAGCAGGTCACCTTATCATGGACAACTACATATACTGGTATATCATTTGACTATGCATACATAAAATTAATTTTAAAACAAAAAGAAACTAGAGGTTACATGTTTATTTTGCAAATAATAGATATTAATGGGACCAGAAATATAACTCAAAGGGTAAAGGCACTTGCCGCTCAAGCCTGGAAACCTGAGTTTGAGCCCCAGAACCCACATAAAGGGAGAAGATAACCAATTATACTGTATTAGCTGATGACTTTCACATATATACTGTGGCTCTTGAGCACATACACAACTTTTTTTTTAAAGAGACATTAATAATTTTCATACTCAATGACAAAACCCACTGTATTCTGTACAGTTAACATTTTCTTCAATGTCTAGGAATGATTAATAAGCACCGCTACCCATATTAATGGAAATTTAACTTCCAAAGAAAGAGTATTAAACAGAAG